TTTTTATGTTAAATACATTTATTTTATTTTTTTTTAAAATAAATTAGAGGAATGGCATAACAATCTACCTGTGCTTATGATTTGGGGTCAGCGCACAGGGCTATCGATTTTATTTTCTCAGAGAGAGAGAGAGAGAGAGAGAGAGAGATAACCAAAAATACAGTTTATGTTGTTTCCGATAAACTACTTATATATCAAATATACTGTATATTTGGGGAAAAAAATAAAATCATTTATTTTATTTTTTTTGCTATACATATACTAGCAATACTAACAAAATTATTTTATTTATTTTTTTTAGTAGTAATATTTTTTTCTGTATAATACAGCAGCAAATAAAATGTTTGTTTACTTTGTTTTTTTGATTTAAAAAAGTTGTAGCAAAATTTGGGGAAAAAAAATATTTTATTGTTATTATTATTGAAATTATTATAATATTAGTAATGATTTTTATATTTTTAAAAAATAGTTACAATATATTTGATTACAAATAATAATAATATATTATATTATTTTATTTAGTTTTTTATATAAATATTTTTATTAAATACAATCTTATAAATAGTTTAATATTAAAAATTTTAATTATATTTAAATAGTTTATAAATCTAGTTTAATATTAAAATTTTTATATATTTTTTAATATATATATATTTATAAATCATACTATTACAATACAAAAATAATATATGTGACGTATTTATAAACAAATATTTTGTCCCATTTTTTTATTATAAAAAAATAGTTTTTTAAAAATTTATGTTAAATATGCATTCAATTTTATCTTGATAATATATATATATATATATAAATGTTGTCTAGACAATAATAATTTATTATATTTATGTATGATTCACATTAATTATTAGTATTTTTTTATATATTGCTTTATGTCATTATTAGATATAATGTTTTTCATAATAATTTTATTGTAATATATATATACAGTATATACTGTAAAATATTTAAATAATTAATAAAAAAATTTTTTATTCAAACTATAATGAACTACCGTTTTATTAAAAATTTTAAAAAAAAATTAATGAACTGTTAATACTATCATAAAATTTATAATATATATATATATATATATATAAATAAAGAGTTTATATAAACAATTTTTTTTATTAAATACAAATTTAAAAAAAACATATACTTAATGTATAGCTATTGATATAAAAAAATAAATAAAATAAAATAATCAAGGTTATGTTCCTTATGAACTATAGTGGAAATAATTTTTTTTTAAAATAATTATTTCAATATTATATTAAATATTTTATTTATATTTATTTCTATAAATGAATAGATTTGTGTTATTTAATTAAATAAATAAAATATAAAAAAATAAAATACAGTATATAACTGTATAAAGTTTATTGTGTATACTATACAGTATATAACCCGGTATCAATTTTTATTTTTTATCATATGATATGATTATCATACAAATATTGCCAAATAACTAAAACATACTGTAGTTTATTTCATATATACTGTATATTAAACTCATAAAAAATAATATTTTAATTTATCAATTAATTTTTTTTATAAATATTAAATATTATAATTTGTTTACTTGACCCTATTCAATTTAACTATTTTTTTGTATATATATTAAATAAGTAGATAATTAGTATTATTTTTTTTATAAATATATACATTTAAAGTTTATTTCAAAAAGTTTTTATTTAAATATTTATATATTAAATATCTTATAATAATAATAATTGTTTTTAGTATTATCATCCAATCATAATAAAACATTATAAAGTACAATGATCAATAAACTTTATAATATATTTATATATATATAATATATATATATATATATTATTGTATTAGAAACAAATAAGTAAAGTTATCAAGGTTCAATGTCTAATTTAATAGTGTATCAAAAAAAATAATAAATTAATTAAAATAAAAATAAATAACTGATAGAAACCAATTTTTTGTATTCATATTATTATAACTATTATAATATTCAAATATTTATTTAATTTGTTATTATTTACTTATTTTTATAGCATATTAATAGTACTAAACAAACATTTTCTAACTATTTAATAAAAAAAATATTTTTATATATTTTTTATATTTAATATACCTTGGTATTGTTATTACAATTGAAAAAATAACAATAATATATTTTTTTACAATATCACTAAAATATGTTTGGTGACATATTTTTTTTAATTATTATTATTATTATTATTTAGTTTAGTTTGAAATAATAATAATAATAATAAATATATATCATATGAATCATATGATTTTGTATTTTTTCATATATATATACAGTAAATACAGTATATATTAATTAATATATATATATATATATTTTCTCTTATCGTAATAAACTGGTAGTTGTATACAAAAAAAAATATATAATAAAATAATATATTTTTCAACTTTTATCTATAATTTTATTATTATTATTATTAACTAGTATGATTCAACTTATTATTTTTTTTGTACTGTATATTTACTGACTAATAGATAATACAATTAGTAAATATATAAAATACTGTAATATCTACTAAAAATCGCCATATTTTTAATGATTTTGAAATATATAATATATATATATATAGTATATTAATAATAAAAAAAATTGTTTCTATAAACAAAATTAAATCTAAGTTACTATCATAGAGTGAAATAGATTATAGTAATAATAATAATTTATATTATTATTATAAATAGTAATATACTTTATATTATTGTTACTATTTTTAGTGATTATTATTATTATTATTATTATTATTATTATTATTAAATAATCACAAAAAAAATAATAATACATTATTTGTTATAATTACAGGAAATTATTGAAATAAAGTGTTTTTTTAAACATATGTTTATATAAATTATAATAATCATAATATTTATATTATTATTAAAATATATATATATATCATATAAGTTATTAAAAATTTTAAAAAGTTATTTAAACTAGAAAAAAAACTAAGTTTGATTAAAATTAAAATTTTAAATAAAAAAACTATTTAATATTTTTAAATAATTTTTTTTTGGTTGAAAAAAAATTATAATGGATATTCATTCAACTAATAATAATAACAGTGAAAATATTGAACCATCAATAAAAATGTTGAATAATAATAATAATACAGACAGTGATGTTAACATCATTACCGATGATAATGATAATAATGCTAATAATAATAATAATAATAAATCACTGGTAGTACGGGTGCGTCAAAACTTTTTCGATACCCACTATCTTAACGAACCCGATAGCTATGATTCAACTGATATGGATAGCCTACGGGAGGCCAACGACTATATTATACGGCGATTTTTGGCGGTCAACGACTCGGACACCGATAGGACAGTCTCGCATTTGGCTGAGACGTATAGGTGGCGCAAATCGTTTCCGGTTAGACGGGATTTTAGTCAATGCGGTGTCGAAGTGTTTCAATGCGGCGCTATGTTTATTCACGGTGTCGACCGGGAGGGTAGGCCAGTGCTGTACGCCCGGGTCAAGACTCATGTCAAGATTGCCGAACTGGAACGACTGGCACAGGTATGTTAGAGGGGAAGGAAGGGATAGAGAGACAGAGAGACAGACAGACAGAAAGAGAGAGAGAGAGAGAGACAGAGAGACAGAGAGATAAAGACAGAGAGAGAGAGAGTGATAGATAGAGACAGAGAGAGAGAGAGACAGACAGAGAGAGAGAGACAAAGAGAGAGACAGATAGAGAGAGAGACAGACAGAGAGAGAGAGACAGACAGAGAGAGAGAGAGACAGACAGAGAGAGAGACAGACAGAGAGAGAGACAGACAGACAGAGAGACAGATAGAGAGACAGAGAAAGACAGATAGAGAGAGAGAGACAAAGAGAGACAAAGAGAGACAAAGAGAGACAAAGAGAGAGACAGAGAGATTCAATTCAATCAATTAATTACTTAAATACAGAATATATTTGCTATTTTTGTAATATTTTTAAAAGAAAAATATATTAATTAAAATTTGTATTTTTTTATAATATTTTTATTTTATTAACAGTTAGTTATTTTAACTAAATTAGTATTTTAACTTAATTTTTAATTAAGTTAGAAAACTAAATATATAGTAATATTATGTTTAAATTAAAATTTTATATTTTAAACAACAATAATAGGATATAGTAGTGACAACACTGGAAAAGTTGGCTCAATTGGGCAACGATAAAGGTTTTACAGTAGTTATGGACGTATCGGGCGCAGGGCTATCCAATGTTGACCTAAAAATGGTCAAATTTATGGTACAGGCCCTACACTACTATCCCGAAGCCCTACAGTGTATACTAGTTGTCAACGTTCCCACTTTGATCAAACCGTTTATGCCTATTGTCCGGTTAATATTGGGTTCTAAATATTCACACATGCTACATATTGTCAATGATAGACAACTATTCGATCATATTGAACCAAGTCAAGTACCAAAATATCTAGGTAACTTTTATTGAAAAAATTAAAATTATTTATTATTAATTTATTTATTAATAAATCTATATTTATAAAAATAGTTATTAATTTATTATTAATAAGTTTATTATTAATTTATTATTAATTAGTTTATTATTAATTTATTATTAATAAGTTTATTATTAATTTATTATTAATAAGTTTATTAAAATTAAAATTATTTATTAAAATTTATTTATTAATAAATCTATATTAATTAATTTATTATTAATTTATTATAAATTATTAATAAATTTATTAAAATTAAAATATTATTTTTTATTTGTAAAATTTTGTAGACGTAATTTATTGTAAAATTTAATAGGGACATAATTTATTTAATTTAAATTATTGTTTTTGTTTGTTTTTACTCGCTGCAAAAAAAATAGGTGGCGACAGCAACTATGACTTTACCCAACCGCCCACCGAATGTACGAAAACTTGCGAACAATTATCCCATTTGTTTGATTTGGATCCGAAAGTCGTACGCAAATCGATTCGCAAGTTTGAGCCCCATATGCGCGATGCGCGCCAACTAGTGTTGCGTACTATTGATGTCAACAGTATAAACAAATAACGCTATTATAAAAATATCATATAATATTTTTTTTGTTGCAAATATTTAGATTTTAAAAATATTATTATTAATAATATCTTTAATTATAATTTATATGTCATTATTTTTTTTTGTAACTTTTGTAATTTATTTTTATGTTTATTTAAAATAACTATATTATTAATATAATGCTAGTTTATATTTTTTTCAAAAATAGTTTGTAAATTAAATACCATTGTAAAAGTTTTTCAATGAAAAAAAATAAATAAATAAAATTAATAAACATTATTATTATTTTAGCATTTATTTTATTTATTAAAAATTTTTCTATTTTTTTAAATGTAAATATTATAATAGTATATAAATGTTTATAAAAAATACATTTGTATTAAAGTTTAATATTTTCAAAATAATCTATTAATTAAGTTAATTAATAATAATTGGAAACAAAATTATTATGATTTAAATAAAATGTTTTTATTTCGTTTAAGATTAAAATAAATTATTTTCAATTAATTGTCTTAATAATTGTTAAAAAAAATACATCAAAACCATAGTACAAATTGTTTTTATAACTTTTTTTCCAATATTTGTAATTACATGACAGTTACCTAATATAAATTAAAACAAAAATAATAGATTTAATTATAATTTTTTATTTTAAAAATCTAAAAAAATACTAATAATTATTTAAACATATACCCCATATCCGAAAAGTTTTGTCGGCATCGATAACGATGACGATTGCGACCATTTATTTGTCTTCAAATCATATATTTCAATAGTATCGACAGTATCGGCAATATCATAGCCTTTAATATAAATAAATAATTAAATAAAATACTAATAATAATAAATGATAATAACTTGTATCATATATTAAAATTTATTAATAAATTAGTATTTTTTAAATTTTTTTAAAATTAAAAAAATTAATAATTAAAAATTAAAAGTTACCTGATATACCGCCCAATGCTAATAAGCTATTATTAAAAGCAACTAGCTTAAAATCTGTACGAGCATTTAACATTGATGCTAGAAAATATTTTATTTATTAATATTTTTTTTTGTAGATAAACAAAAATTAAAATTAATTTTTATTAAAAAAAATAATTCAAATTAATTATTTATTAAAAATAATTACCAATTTGTGTCCATTGATTTGTTTCGGGATCATATGATTCACATGTTTTCTCATCAAAAATATTATGACCGCCGCAAACATATATTTTACCCCTAAATGATACGGAACCAAAAAATGATCTAGATGATTTGCAAATTTTATTATTATTATTTTTCAAAAAAATAAAATAATTAATCAATAATAATAATTGAATGAATAAATGACCTAGTATGGTTCATATTTGCCATTAATGTCCATTGTTTAGTTATTGGATCATATTTTTCCATTGAATTTTCATGAAAATGATTAGCACCTCCGATAGCATACAGATAGCCGTCATGGGCTACCAGTGCTGAACCAGACCGTTCCCTATTCATCGGTGTTGTCGACTGCCATTGACTGCCATCAGTTTCAGGTGAATAATATTCGCACGAATTAAATATAAATCCTTAATAAATAAAATTTAAAACAATCAAAAATAATAATAAAAAAATATTAATTAATTAATTAATTGGTAATTATTTAATATTTTTTAAATCTAAATAATAATAATAATAATAATAATAATAATAATAATAATAATAATAATAATAATAATAATAATAATAATAATAATAATAATAATAATAATAATAATAATAATAATAATAATAATAATAATAATAATAATAATAATAATAATAATAATAATAATAATAATAATAATAATAATAATAATAATAATAATAATAATAATAATAATAATAATAATAATAATAATAATAATAATAATAATAATAATAATAATAATAATAATAATAATAATAATAATAATAATAATAATAATAATAATAATAATAATAATAATAATAATAATAATAATAATAATAATAATAATAATAATAATAATAATAATAATAATAATAATAATAATAATAATAATAATAATAATAATAATAATAATAATAATAATAATAATAATAATAATAATAATAATAATAATAATAATAATAATAATAATAATAATAATAATAATAATAATAATAATAATAATAATAATAATAATAATAATAATAATAATAATAATAATAATAATAATAATAATAATAATAATAATAATAATAATAATAATAATAATAATAATAATAATAATAATAATAATAATAATAATAAATATTACCGTCTACTCCACCGCAAACATAAATAGTATTATTAAGTACTACGGCATCAATATAACTATTTTTGTTAAAAATGAAATAAAATAATTATTAAAGAAAAAAATAATTAAAAACTAAAACTATAATTATTTATAGAAATTTAATTATAATTATTGTATTTATTTTTTAATAATAATTATTATTATTAAATCGGGCTTTACGTTCGTTTTATTGTCATTGAAGGGCATCCTATCCATTGATTTTTAGCTGATTTAGTATCAAATGTTTGACAACTATTGGTTACAACAAAATCCTTTAAACAATTTTAAACAAACAAATAAAAAATAATATATATTTAAGTATTTTTTAAAAATTAAAAAAAATATTTTTTTTAGTGTACATACAGTTTGACCACCGATTGTATATAATTTCATATCCACTGATACCATACCAAACATCATGAGTATAGTTGGCATCGATTGTATAGATTGCCAACCATTGGTTTGTTGACTATATTTATAACATGAGCTATGAATTATTGAACCATTATCTCTACCACCGCACAGGTATATAGATTTTTCATCAATTGTTTGCTATTAATATTTATTTATTAAATAATAATAATAATATTTTATTAAAAGTTTTTTTTATAAAAGAAATATTTTACAAATAAAATATAATACTATTATAATTTGAATAATATTAAAAAATACTTACATTAGTATTAGTAACTGTTTTAATAGTATTTGATTCAATAATATTAAAATAGCTTATAATTAAAGTTAATAAAATTATTTTGGATATTTTAAGCATTTTTTCAAATTAATTTTTAACTTAATAATTTTTTTTTTAAAAAAATTACAAATTGATATTAATATACCTTTATTTATTAACATTTAAATTATTTAATAATTTTTTTTATGTTTTTTAAGTATCTTATATACTGGTATTTATTATGAAAATAATTTTGTATACTAAAAGTTATTTACGATTATCTAATAGGAAAAAATGTTAAGTAATAAAAAATTTATTTTTTTCAGTAAACACTAATAAATTATTTTTTTATTTGATTACCGCTTAATAATTCAATTATCATCTAATAAATCAAATGTTTAATAGAAAAAATTTATCAATTTCACTTTTAATAAAACACATATTTAATATTATTTATAATACATATAAATTATAATTTTGTAAACATATTAATAAATTAAAAATGTTTTTTGAGTAAAGTGAAATTGATAAATTACTTTAAAAACTTTAAATATTACAGTAATTATATAATATATATATATAATAAACTATAATATATATATATATATATATTATAAATAATATGATATAATTTAGTTAAATAAATAATTTAAACAAGTTATGATTATTTTAAACTTTATTTTTAATATTAATATTACAAATAATAATTTCAAAATAAACAATATAATGCATATATATATATATATATATTAAAATACTAAAAAACTATTATTAAATACAGGTAATTTTAAATTTATCACTTTTACATTACAACAGCCTAAAAAATAAAAATATATATAAAAAGTTTAGTTAAAAAATAAATATAAAAATACATTATAGATTTTTTTTGTAAATAAAATTATACCCCAAATCCATATAGTTTTGCAGGCATTGGTTTAGTTAATTGCCATTTATTTGTTTTATAATCATAGACTTCAACATTATCTATGAGACCATCATCTAGGTTGATTTAGTTAATCAAAAAATAATTTATTTAAAAAAAAGTTTATTACTAAATATTTATATATTTTTATATAGTAAGTATTAAAGTTTTTATAAAAAAAAATTTTTTTTTTATTTAAAAAACAACAAAATTTTAGTAATCAGTTATTTTTTTTTGATAAATAATAATAATTAATTAAATTATTAAATACCATTAGTTCCACCCATAGCGTATAGACTATCATTAAAAGCAACTAGCTTAAAACTAGATCTATAATTTATCATTGATGCTATATATAAAAAAAAATTTTAAAAAAAATTATGTTTTAACAAACTTAATAAAATTTAAAAAATATATAAATATATTTAAAAAAAATCAATTAATTTGTTTTTTTTCAAACCAATTTCAGTCCATTGATTAGTTATGGGATCATATGTTTCGCATGTATTTTGTGCACTACTATCGCCACTACCGCCGCAAACATATAGTCTACCCCTAAATGATTCCGAGCCTAAAAAATATCTATATTTAACAAAAATAATTAAAAAAAAAGTTAAAATTTTTGTTAATAATTAATTAATTATACCTATTATTTGTCATATTTTTCATTGGTATCCATTGTTTGGTTAGCGTATCATATCTTTCCATTGATTTCAATAAACCGTTATTCATATTATAGCCACCGATAGCGTACAGATAGCCGTCATGGGCTACCAGTCCCAGACCAACCCTTTCCGTAAGCATTGGTTGTATTGATAACCATTTATCGGGTGTAGTATTGGGCGTATAATATTCACATGTATTACTAGGATTATCTTGAATTTAAAAAAAAAATAATAATAATATTTAAAATTATATATATATTTAATAAATTACCACTAAATCCACCGCAAACATAGATAGTATTATTAATAACTGCTGCATCAGCGGCCCTAAAAAAATAAAATTTAAAAAAATTAAAACAAAAAATTAACTTAAATATTTACAATATGTAAAATATAGATTATATTGATATTTATATATAATTTAAATATTATTATGAAATATAGTTAGACTTTATATATATATATATTATATATAAATATATAAAAAACAATTTGAGTAATTAATATAACTTATTGTTTAAATAGTTAAAAAATAGGTAGTATTAAAAAAATAAAATTAAATAAATAACTTAAATATTTATATTAAGAATATTGGATAAATATTTTATATATTTATATTATATAGATATTATATTAAATAATATTATCAAATATAGTTAGGTTTATTTTGTTGAGTAATTAATTTTACATTTAATATCTTATTTAGTTTTAGTTTTTTAAAAAAATCTTATTGTTTTAATAAAATAAAATAATTTAAATTTTTAAATAATTACGTTCGCATTATATTCATTGAAGCGCACGGTTTCCATGTATTAGCTATTGGTTCATATGTTTCACAACTATCCAAAATTCCGTCATCCTATTTAAAAAAAAACAGTTAAAATTTATAAAAATATTTATAAAAAAAATAAATTAAAAAAATTAACTATTTAATTCAAAAAATAAATAAATATAAAAATTAACAATTTAATAAAAAAAATAATTAATTAATTAACAACTTAATTAAAAAAATATATAAAAATTAACAACTTAATTAAAAAAAATAAAAAAAATAAACAATTTAATAAAAAAATAAATTAATTAATTAACTACTTAATTAAAAAAATAAATATAAAAATTAACTACTTAATTCAAAAAATTAAATAAATTAAAAAAAATAAATTATAATAATTAAACACATACACCATAGCCACTTATTGAATACAATTTCATATCTAATAAAACCAAACCAAACCATTCCCGACCGGTTTTCATCGATTTGATTGATTTCCAAACTCTAGTTACGGTATTATATTTATAACATTGCGGAAAAAATGCTGTTTTATTACAACCACCGCATAGATAGATATTTTTTTCATTATCTATTAAACCAATTGTTTGCTATAAATTTTTTTTAAAAAAAATAAATAGATAATAATTTTAGCATAAAAATTAAGTAAATAAAGTTTATATCATATATTAACTATTAAATTAAATTTGTTTGTTTACTTACATTTTGATTTTGATTATTATTATTATTATTATTATTATTATTATTATTATTATTATTATTATTATTATTATTATTATCTTTGTATATCACGGTTGTTCCGGTGTGATCACAGCTGTGTCGGCCACTTTTGGTGGCAGAGACACGACTGGTTAGACTCAACTCAAGTCTAGTACTTTTCTGACTGTTCTACAACTCTGAAGTATCACTGCTTTTTGCATTTCATAGATCTTAGTTTTTCTGATTTCCAGTGATTCCAAACTTAGGGCCAGATTTTTCGGTATTACGGCCATTGATGATAGGATTATAGGTATGATTTCAACTTTCTTAATGCGCCACATCTTATTGATCTCATAGGCCAAGTCTGTATATTTTCGGCGTTTCTCACTATGCGTGTCCTGTAGTTTGTGTGTTAGTGGGACCGCTATGTCTATTATGTACGCCTTATCTTGATGTTTGTCTACTAGTACTATATCTGGGCGGTTGTGGGCCACAGTCTTATCTGTTCTTATTTCTTTATCCCAGTAGAGCTTGGCTCTGTTGCTTTCCATTACACTTTGTGGCTCGTATCTATAGTATGGTAATGGTTCTTTGGTTAGTCCGAATCTTATTGCCAATTCCTGATGTATGATTTTGGCTACTTGGTTGTGACGGCTTAGGTATTCGGTGTTTGTGAGTACTTTACACCCGTTTAGTATATGTTCTATTGTTTCGGACTCCATATGACACATCCTGCACTTGTCTGTTGGTATATTTAGCTTTTGGATGTATTTCTGATGGTTTCGTGTCGGAATCACTCGATCTTGTATTGCCATCATGAACCCCTCTGTCTCTCCATGAAGACCGGCGTACTTCAACCATTTTGTAGACATTTCTTCGTCTACGTGTGTTTGGTTGAGTTCTGCTCTGTATCTACCGTGGAGTTCTTTTGAGGCCCATGTGTTAATCCTCTCTTTTTCATTTTGTATTTCTATTTGATGTTCATTATTGCTGAGATTTAGAGGTGTGTAGTTGTAATCAAGTGTTGATGTTATTTTGTGGAGCTCTGAGACATTGCATTTTTGTTGATGGTATTTTCTCAGCAATTCTCGCTGTTTGGCTTCAAGGCTTACAATGTTTAGTAACCCTCTACCCCCATGCTTTCTACTAACACACAGTCGTGCTACAGAACTTCTAGGGTGGTGTAGTCCAAACATTGTAAGTTGTCGCCTTATATGTCTTTCAATGGTCTCAAGTTCTGTTTTACTCCATTTTATTATTCCGAACGAGTATGTCAGTACAGGTATAGCCCAAGTGTTTATGGCTTTGAATTTGTTGTTTGAGTTTAGTTGAGATTTTAGTATTTTTATTATTCTTTGGTTTAATGTTTTCTTTATTTCTTCTTTAACTTCTGTCATTTTAGATTTATGCATTTGCTTAATTCCTAAATACTTATATATATCTCCATTTTCTAGTGCCTTTATATATCCGTTTTCAGTTTCGTATTGATTTCTTTCAGAATAGACTCCTCTTTTCAGTTTCATTATAGCACATTTATCTAATCCGAATTCCATATTTATATCATTGGAGAAAGTTTCTGTTGTTTTTAGCATTGCATTTAAATCAGATTCTTTTTCGGCGTATAGTTTTAAGTCGTCCATATATAGTAGATGTGTTAGATTATATTTTGTATCACTTGATTTTAGATTTACGCCTTTTAGCTTTTTAAGTAGTGATGACAGTGGGTTTATAGCTAAGCAGAACCACAGAGGACTGAGTGAATCTCCTTGAAATATTCCTCTATTTATTTTGATTTCTGTACTTATTTTTGTTCCATTATTTGTATTGACACACAATTTAGTATTCCATTTTTTCATCATATTTTCTAATGTGTTTATCAGTGTGTTGTCAATTTTATATAGTTTTAACACTCTTAATAACCATTTATGAGGGAATGAATCGAATGCTTTCTTATAGTCTATGTATGCCATTTCAAGATTTCTATGTTTTTGACGAGCTCTTATTGTTATGATATTGTCTATTGTTAATTGCTCTTTACAACCCATTGAGTGTTTTATACAGCCTTTTTGTTCTTCAGCTATTATGTTGTTGTTACTTAAATGATTATATATTTTTGTTGATATTATGGATGTTAGGATTTTATACATTGTTGTTAGGCAAGTGATTGGTCTATATTTGCTGGGATCTGATGTATTTTCTGTTTTTGGGAGTAGATATGTTATTCCGGAAGTGAGGAAGTCATCGGTTTGTCCTGTTTGTATTATTTTATTCATTGCTATTGCCATTGGTTGATGAACTGTTGTAAAGTGTTTATACCAGAAGTTTTGTATTTTGTCTTGTCCTGGGCTTTTCCAATTGTGGGATTTATTGAGGGCTTCGGTTAAGTCATCTTTAATTATATTTACTGAAGTCATATGTGGTATTTCTTTATTTTCATCTTCAATATCATTTATCCAATTAGATTCTTTATATTCCTTTGGGTTACTCCAGATTTCTTTCCAGTAGTTTTCTATTTCATCTATTTGTGGTGTATTGTTATTATTGCTTGAATTTATTTTATTTTGATTTCTATAGAACATTTTTTCGTTATTATAGAACATTGTATTTTGTTTTCGTCTTTCGCTTTGTATTTTATATCTTCTAATTCTTTGTGATAGTGCTTGAACTGTTTGTTTTAATGTGTCGTTGTAATTTCGGATTATGGATTCAAATTCAGGTTTTCCAGGTTTTGTCTGTAATGATCTGTATATATCTTTTAATGATTGGTTAAGTCTTTTTGATTTGATTCCATTTAACACTTGCGTTATTCTTCCAATTATTTTTCTTTTCCCTTCTATCCGTGTCTCTATTCGCTTTTGCCATTTAGGTATTACATTTTCTTGATTTGGTTTTGTTGTAGACATGTGTTCTATTTTGTAGCCTAAGAGTCTCGATACTGCTACTGCTGCACAATACGTTATTGTATTAATTGCGCTCAACGACATATTTTCTTCGATGTAATCTTTAAGTATATCATTTATCGTTATTATAGTAGATCTTGTTTTAATGCCACTTCTTATTTTTGGTAATTTAGGTCTGAATTCTATTTCAAAGTCTTTATATTGTTCTAAAGATGTTTTTAGTTCATTTTCTGCTGTTATTCTTTTTATTTCATCATTTGTATTGTTTATGTTATCTGTTGTTGTAGGTGTCTCTTCTATTTCTGGCACTACTTCTACTGTGGTATTTAATTCAGTTGTTTCATTTAATGATAGTTCATGTGCCACTTGTTGTTTGATTTCTTGTAATTCAATCGGGGATATTTTATTATTCTTTGCTAAGAATCGCCGTTGGTCTGCAATTCTTTGTTCCGTTACATTTAGTTCTGGATATTTTTGTTTGAATGCTAAGTATATTTGGTTTCTGTAATTAGTCATATTTGTTTCGAGTCGAGTTGATCTGTAGTATTCGCGCATTATCAAGGTATTCATCTCATGTGTCCATCTCATGCGCTTTTGCGATTTGTCAACCAAATTGGTCAGTTGTTGCTGAGAACCAGCTTGAACTGAAACATTTTGGAGGTTAGTCTGATTTTGTTGACTAGTCTGCGGTCGCATTACATCACAGCTTTGCCCGCATAGCACATCACTGCGTGGGATATGATGCATACTTAACGAACAGCAGTCAATGCCTACCTGCTGAACGCGGGATTTATTTGAGAGGGTACCTCCCGAACACCCCCCGTTATTCCTACGACTACGTGTAATCATATTTATATATTTTGTGGCCTTTTTACGGGGTCCCGGTCCCTAGAGAAAGCTCAACACTAACATGTGTCTATTGCCACCCATTTCTCACCACTAACATGTGTTTGTTGAAATAGGATTTTTATTTTTATTTTTTTGAAACAAAAGTGGCCATTGCGTGTGAGGACGAGTAACTACTCGAAGGGTGAAGGGACATCCTTGCGGACGTCCCTTCGGGGTGGGGGCACCTTTTTACAGGCACCCCCGGGTGGGAGCACCCTTGCGGGTACCCCCAGGTGGGCACCGATACCGAAGTACCGATACCCGGGTCGGGCAGAAACTCGTCCTCACTTAGCACCCCGCTTTCCCCATACTACTTAAGTTGGCCGTCCTAAACAGCGTTGGTTGGGCAGGGACGGGAAGCACAGTTAAAACAATTTTTTTTTCTCAGAAAAATTGCTTTCCACATCAGGGCTCGAACTCACGATCTTACTCTCCATTACTCTACTAGCCCTACACACTAACCACTACACCACTGTGCCTCCTTATTATTATTATTATTATTATTATTATTATTATTATTATTATTATTATTATTATTATTATTATTATTATTATTATTATTATTATTAATTGAAATAGCATTCAATGTAATGATAGTATTGAATAAGCAAACAATTAAACTAGAAATTAATAAATTTGATATTTTCAACATTTTATTTTAATTTTATTTTAATAAATAAATAATTACAACAAAAAAGTATATAATAATTTAAAAACTAATATTAATAAGTTATATTTTTTTGTAAATTAAAAAAACAATTGACAATAAACAAATAAATTATAACTTATATATATAAGTTTATATACGGTATATATATATATATATAAATATATATTATCTCATATAATATAATAGTATTTAAGTTTTAATCTATAATAACAAAGATTAAGTAATAATTAATAATTAATAGTTTTTTCATAATTGTTATGAAATACAAAATAATTTGTCTATTTTATTCAATAAAACAATATATATAATTATCTTATATACTGTATATCAGTATTAAGCAATGGTGTGGTGGTTGGGGGGGGGGTAATGTAAGTCTAAATTATAATATTTTATTAAAAGTTTTTTTTTTGAAAATATATTTCTTATATATAAAAATATATATATACTATTTAATTAAAAATATATAAAATACTTAAAATCACGTTCAAAATTAATCATAATTTGTAATTTGTCATTTGACCCCTCCCTCCCCCCACTTCAATCAACTCTAAAATTTATTTATTTTTTTGCTTAACCCTGATTAATTTATCTATAAAAAAAATCATATATATTATATTATGAATAATACTTTATGACTCATTAAAAAAAATAAAATAAAAGTTATTGTAAAATATTAATCTCTAATTAAAACTCGTTGATTGGTTTAGTGTAATTAGGTTATCCAGATACAATTGATAATTTTTTTCACTAATTTTATACAAGCTAACTGTGCTACTATTATTACTAATAATTGTAAGCACCTGTAGTTATAGACATACACACTATACCCTGATTACAGTTAGTAATAAAATCAATGTTATCAACAGTATATACAATATTAATATATAAAGTATATTAATATATATTTTTGATAATTTTTAATTTTTTTTTATCTTAATATAACACTTCAAAAAATAATATGTCTTTAAAATTATGAAAGTTTTATTTGTTATCAAAAAAAAATAGTAAAATAAAATAAAATTACATTTTTTAGTTTTATGAGTCCTAAGTTTAATTATTTTAAAATATTTTATTTTTGTATTTAATTATTAAAGCACAAACATTTATAAATTATTTTAAAATATAAAATATACATTAACTTAATTATTTTTTTATAAATATTTTTGTATTTTTTTATTAAATAGTATGTTTTATTTTTTTTAAGTTATAACATGTTTTAATGAAAATATATATATATACTTATAAACTAATTAATGAAAAACAATTCAATAACTAATATGTTTTTAAATAGAAATTTTTATGCCATTTATTTGTATTATAAGCGTTTATTTAAACTTATTTTAAATATAATAGTAATAATAAAATTTAAAATGTTTAAACAATTACATAATATTATTGTTAATACTGTTTATAATAAAATTATATTTTTACATTTTTGCTGTAAAAAATAAATCTAAAATATTTTAATTATTTATAAAATTGTATTTAATTTTTTTCAAAAAAAAAAAAATTTAGGCAACTGTGGCATAAACAATTGATATTAAAACCAAATTAATATTTTATGGATATAAAAACTTATTAGTTTAAAAAAAAAATTATTTTCAACTATTAAAAATTAATTAATTTAATTATTATAAATTAAAAAATAACTGATAATTTTTTTTGTCAAATAATTTTTCAATCAAAATAAAAATTGAATGTTTAATATAATATTTAAATTAGTAGACTAATTATTATTATTATTTATAATATTAAAATTTCTATAAATTTATTTTGTTATTACTATAATATTTTATTTTCTCAATTTATAATCTAGGCCACTGTTGCGTAAGCATATTTACAACAATAAGTTGAATTGAATAAAAAAAACAATTTATTAAATTTAAATTTATTTTATTTCTAACTAAATATTTTTTTTTAAAATTACTAAATGTTTTATATAATTGTCATATATATAGTTTAATTAGAAATTTGTATATATATATATATATATCTTAAATATATTTTAATAAGTCTATATTTTTAACTATAAAATATATAAGTTATATATATATATATATATATATATCCTTATACTATATAATACTGTAATAACTGGATATAAATAATAATGTATATATATATATATATATATATATATATAAAACAAACTATAATAAGTAAATAGACTTTTTATTTATTTATTTTTTTTTTGGTTAAATTATAGAGCAGTACTACAAAAATATGTTATTTTAATTTTATGTATTTTACGACATAAAAAAAATAATATAAAATATTTTAATAATATTTCTAATTTAATTACTGCTATTAATTAGTATTTATAATGTATTAATAAAAATATTCAAACATTTTTATGTGTCAGATTTGTTTAGTAATTAGGAATTATAAATACAGTTTTAATTGATATGAAATAAATAATTAATAAATTTTTTTAAGTAAAATTATTTTTTTTTGTTAATTCATTTTATGTGAAATAATATATTTTTTTTTTTTGAAAATATAATACAAATTTATTTTTTGTTTTAATACAGACACCAAAGTTACAATGTATTTAACGTTTAACTATTATTATTATTATTATTATTATTAATATTTTTTTTGTGATAATGTCTGTAAATTATGATTTCACCGGAAAGGTAGCTCTGATAACTGGTTCGAGTTCGGGTATCGGTGCCGGCATTGCCCAACTGTTTGCCAAATCGGGTGCCAATGTTGTAGTTACTGGACTTGATTCGGACGGTGTAAGCAAAGTGGCCAAACAATGTACAGCTGTGTCACCGAAACAGTTGCCAGCACTGGAAGTTGTCGGCGATTTGACTGTAGAAGAGGATTGCAATCGACTGATTGATACGACTGTCCAAACCTATGGCAAAATTGATATATTGGTCAACAATGCAGGAATGGATAAGTTTGCCAATATTACCGATGATGGCTATTATGAAAACTTTCAAAATATTATTCAAACAAATCTGTATTCAGTGGTATATCTAACACATAAATGTGTGCCATATTTGGCCAAAACTCGGGGCAATATTATCAATATATCGGATATTGGATCCGAAATAACGGTATTTTATATTTAATAAGTGTTTTTTTTAACAAAATAAATATATATTTTACTAATAATTTTCTTTTATAAATAATTATATATTTTTAAAAAACTAATTAATTTTTATATATATATTACTTTAGATTAGTGACAGTTCCGCGTACTGTATGTCCAAAGCAGGACTCGATATGTTTACCCAATGTATGGCCGCAGAGTTGGGACCCAAACATCATATCAGAGTTAATTCAGTCAAGTAATTGATTGATTGATTTATTTATTTAGAAATATATTTTTAATTTTATTTTTTATCGTTTTTTTTGAATGATAATTAATTTTCTATAAATTTATTTATAACAACAACAACAACAACAACTCATCAAAATATACATAAAAATTAAGTCCCGGAGCTGTAATCAGTAATTTGTTGACTAATATGGGTTTACCTGAGACAGTAATCGACAATATGTACGCCGAAGTTGGCCACAAATATCCGGTCGGTAGGATTGGCCAACCGGAAGACATTGCCAATACTGTTGCCTATTTGGCCAGTAATACGGCGGCCGGCTTTCTGACCGGCAGTACTGTATTGGTCGACGGCGGACATCTGGCCGCCAATGTTAACGTTGATTGAATATATATATATATATATATATATAATTAAATTTTTTAAATTATTTATTATATTGATATTAACTATTTTAACTACTAATCAATTAATATGTAAGACTACTTTATCTATTATATACAGTTATATAATATATATATATATTCACAATATATTCAATATACTTTAAAGTATTATTATTATTATTATTATTATTATTGTACTAAATTATTTGTTAGATTATAATTTAATTACTTTAAATTATTTTAAACCAGATAAAAATTAAAATATTTGTTTAATTGTTTTTTTTAAAATAATAAAAAATAAATAAATTAAAATTAAAATTTTTAGTTATTGGCTGTTAAGTTAAGTGTTAAGTTATTATTTTAATTTTATCTATTTTATTAAAATAATAATAATAATAAAATATTTTAATAATACTATTAACAAAACTATTTAATAAATAATAAAATGAAAATTACAGTATTTCTATTGAAACGAAAATTTATTATATATATATTTTTTTGTAAATTAATATTAAGCAATAATTAAAATAATTAATTAATATTTATAATGTATTAATAAAATTATTCAACACTTTTATTGCCGAATGATTATGCTATTAGTTATATGTAATTATAAAAGTAATAAAATATTTAGTAATACATGATAAATATTAATTATTATTATTATTACATACAAAAATAATTTTAAAAAAATATATATATATATATATGAAATGATTCAAACCCTACGCTAATATATATTTTGCTTAAAGTTTATTATAATTTATAAAATGCTATTTAAGTTCAAAGTTAAGCTACCAGTGCTGCCTCAACACACGTGAGCTTAAATGTAATGGTGGACTGAAACCAGTAGTTGGGTTAGAGTTGGGTTAGCTATCGAAGTGATCGGTAGAGTTGGTTTAGCTATTGAAGTGGACGGTTCAGTCTAAGCGTGTTCAGCAGTCAGTGGACTGTACGGGTGGGTTGGCGTAGTACTGGCCGATAGCTTTAATTATATTAATTATCTGTTTAATTGTTTAACGCATTTATATTATTAATAAAGTATTGTAAATGTATTATACACTGTGTTTTGCGATTATAGTAGTCATTAGCTTATGGGTGATTGTAGTTGTTGCAACAACAGTGTGTAATAGCTTAGCCGCCGCAACACGTGTCTCATCGTTCGGGTCTACAGCTGGTCATTGTATAGGTCACACCTTTACCGCATTGCCTATAAGTGGTAGCTCGTCTGCAGCTATAAGCCTACCTATTTAACGGGAGAGCATAATTCACGGGTCTCATAGCTAAGCCCCGCAACCCGTGAACTGCAACCGCACTGCTACAGCTGAGGGTGTGCCAGTTGGTGACACCCGTAGCAGTATTTACCGTTACATATATATATATAATAAATTATAGTTTCAATAGAAATAATTTTTATTTTATTAGTTATCAAATAGTTTTATATTAATATTATAGTTTGTTATATATATATATATAAATATATAAATTTACATATATAAAATACTTTTGTTTTCAACTTATTATAAAATTTTTATTATTATTATTATTATAATTATTTAAATAGTTAGCTAAAATTACATTTTAGCAAATTTACCAAAATGATTTAATGTTTACATAACTGTAGCCTGAAAAAATAAAAATAAAAAAATAAAAATAATTTTTTTAAATAAATATTCAATTAATTAATTTATATTTTCAAAGTTATACACCAAATGCTAATAAATTTATTGGTAATGATTGTCTGTATTGCCATTGATTTAGTTTATAATCGTATACTTCAACCGTTGCAGTGCTTCCGTAATCTTATATGATATATATATATATATAATATAATTTAATTAAAATTATATTATATTTTATTGAATTGTAAACCTATAAAACAAAAATAATTAAATAAATTACCCCAAAAAAAAAATCCACCCAGAGCATATAGATTATTATCCAGGGCAACTAATTGAAAATCACTACGTTTTAATTACATTGATGCTAATTACTATTTTTTTTTCATAAAATACATAAAATTAAAAATTAACATATATTGTATACGATTGTATAATTTTTCATTTAAATTTATTTATTTTATTTTTATAAAAAAAAACATTAAACAAATATTTTTTATTTTTATCTGGTCAAAAAAAATAATTTTAATTAATTGAAATTATATAATCTAACAAATAGTTTAGTATAATAATACTATAAAGTATATTAAATATATTGTGAATATATATATATATTATATAACTATATATCTTATCCATTCCTGCATTGTTGACCAATATATCAATTTTGCCATAGGTTTGGACAGTTGTCTCAATCAGTCGATTGCAATCCTCTTCTACAGTCAAATCGCCGACAACTTCCAGTGCTGGCAACTGTTTCGGTGACACAGCTGTACATTGTTTGGCCACTTTGCTTACACCGTCCGAATCAAGTCCAGTAACTACAACATTGGCACCCGATTTGGCAAACAGTATAGCAGTGGCCGCACCGATACCCGAACTCGAACCAGTTATCAGAGCTACCTTTCCGGTGAAATCATAATTTACAGACATTATTAACAACAATAACAACAAAAATTAATAATAATAGTTAAACGTTAAATACAGTGCAACTTTGGTGACTGTATTATAATCAAAAAAAAAAAAATATTTTATTTCACATAAAATAAATTAACAAAAAAAAATTATACTAAAAATAATTAATTATTTTTTGTTTTTATAAATACTAACTGTAAACTACATGTATTTATAGTTATAATTCCTAATTACTGAATCAAATTTAATAAAAAATAATCAAATTTAATGTCAAAGTCAATGATAATAATAATTATTATTATACATGTATTGTATTATCCAATTGATTAAATAATCTGATGGACAACACTGTTAATAGTTTTATTAAAGTATTTTTTTTTAATAAAATACATAATATTAAAATAACATAATTATTTTTGTAGTACTGTTCTATAATTTTTTTTAAAAAAATAATAAAAATTATTTATGTTTTAGTTTGTTTTATATATACATTTATATATATATATACAATATATATACTGTATACTGATTTTCCTTTATTATATAAACAACAAAAATAAAATAACATAACAACATTATATTTTAAATTTATTATAGTTTTATTTATAATTTTAAAAAATAATAAATTTTATTTTTTTTTAAATGTTGTCTAATTTAAAAAATACTTTAATAATTTTGTTTTCATATTTTTATTTATTTTTAAAAATTATTTAAATAGTTAATTCAAATTATATAAATTTATCAAATGATTTATTGTTTACATAACTGTAGCCTGAAAAAAATTAAAAAAAAATTAAAAAATAGGAATAATTTATTTTTTATAAAATATATTAAATTAATTAATTAATTTTTTTTAAAAAAATTATACCCCAAATGCTAATAAATTTATTGGTAATGATTGTGTGTATTGCCATTGATTTAGTTTATAATCGTATACTTCAACCGTTGCAGTACTTCCGTAATCTTATATATAATTTAATTAAATATATTTTATATTTTATTAAATTGTAAACCTACAAAAAATAGATAATTAAAAAAAATTACCCAAAAATCCACCCAGAGCATATAGTTTATTATCCAGGGCAACTAATTGAAAATCACTACGTTTTAATAACATTGATGCTAAAATTGAAAATAATAAAAAATACAACAAAATTACTAATAATTAATTATAATATTACTAACAATTATAATATTATTAAAAATTATAATATTACTAACAATTATAATATTACTAACAATTATAATATTACTAACAATTATAATATTACTAACAATTATAATATTACTAACAATTATAATATTACTAACAATTATAATAATTTTGAAATATAAATAATGAAAAATAAAAAATTATAATTAATAATCTCATTAAATAATAACAACAATATATATATATATATATAAATTACTAACCAATTGGTGTCCAATTGTTTGTTTGAAAATCATAGGTTTCACATGTTTTCATATTACTATTATTATTATCATTACCGCCGCAAACATAGATTTTGTCCATAAATACTGCCGAACCAAACCATGACCTATCCATCAATGGGTCAATTTTGTTTTTAATAAAAAATAAATAAATAATTAAATTTATTAAAAAATAATATATATGTAAAAAACAAAACAAAAAATTTTATTTAATATCTAAATATCATTAGATAAAAACCTTTCGTTTGCCGACATGTTTGCCGACATTGGTGTCCATTGTCTGGATTGTGGATCAAACGTTTCCATTGAATTCAAACCGTTGCCACCGATAGCATACAAATGGTTGTCGTGAGCTACCAGTCCCAGACCACTGCGTCTAACTAACATTGATGTCGTCGGTTCCCATTTATTAGACTCTGGTCTATAATATTCACAAACTTGTAAAGCTATGCCTAAATTGTTAAAAAGTAAAATAAATAAATAAATAATACAATTGTTAAAAAGTAAAATAAATAAATAAATAATACAATTGTTAAAAAATAAAATATATAAATAAAAAAATAAAATATTTAAATTAAGACAAAATATATATAAATTAAAAAAAATATTTATAAATTAAGCAAATATATATATAAATTAAATTAAAACAAAATATATATATAAATTAAAAAAAATAAAATATATATATAAAATATATATATATATATATAAATTAAATATATATATATATATAAATTAAAATATATAAAATATATAATTAATATAATAAAATATAGATATTAAAAAAATTAACATATTTATACATATATATATAAACTAAAAAACAATAGTATAATCTAGTATATTTGTTATTAAGTAATGTTTGTAAAAAAAAATTATAATAATTTATTAATAAATATATGCTGTATATATTTGTATTATTTTACCTGCTTTTCCACCGCAAACATAAATAGTATTATTTAGTACTGTCGTACCAAATGATCTATGAATATAATAAAAATTTAAACTTTAAAATTAAGTTAGAAATAATAATTTTTTTTAAAAAATTACCCTCGTGAATATATAACATTAGCTAATAATTGCCACAAATTTGTATTTAAATCATATGATTCAACTGTTTTATCTTTTAAATAATCCTTTAATATAAATTTAAAAAAAATAATAATTAATTAAATAATTTTTTAATAATTAATTTTAACTTTTATTATTATATATTACTAATACGATATTACTATTCAAATATTATATATGTTTTATATTAAATATATTATATATGAGTTTAATGTTTTTAAAATATTAATTTTTTTCTAAAAAAATACAGTTAAAACTACTTACAGTTGTACCGGCTATTGCATACAATTTATTATTCAGTGATATCAGTCCAAAGTTTTCCCTATAGGTAGACATTTTCGGTATGGACTGCCAGACCCGGCTCAGGGAACTGTATTTATAACAATATGATCGATCTGTACGATCGCTTTTACCGCCGCATAAATAGATAGACTTTTCATCGCTGGACTGTTTGTATTTAAAATTTATAACAAAAAAATTATACTACAATTGTTAATCTAATTAATAATAATAATTAAAAATAAATTATTTTTTAAATAATTATTGTTTAAATTCATGTATTTTTTGGGGGGGTGGGGTGGGCGGGATATAATATAAACATTAAAATAAAATAAAAATAATATTACAATTGTTAATCTAATTAATAATAATAATAATACTAATAAATATTTTTTTTGAACTAGTTAACTTACATTATTAATTGGTATAGCATTTATTAGTAGCATTTTAATTGAATAATTTTTTTTCATTATTATAATATTATTATTAGCAAAAAATATAATAATAATAATAATAACAGTATTATTAATAATGTACTTACATTGGCATTACGTATAGTAATAGCAATAATATAATAACTAACAATTGTTGTCAACAAAATTAACTTGTACATTTTTGTTTTTGTTTTTTTTGCTAATGATCTTGTTGTTGGTTTTTGAATAAAAATTTTTGTTATAATTTATACTGATTTTATTTTTATTTTATTTTTTTTAAAAAAACAATCTTAATAATTTTTGTAATTTATTGATTTAATTTTATATTTAGTAAATAAAATAGATAAGACTAGTTATGATATATATTATATATATAAAATATATTATCTATCTTTTTTTTAGAAAAAAATTCACCTGTTAATTTATTTAAAATTTCATTTAATATATAGTGAATATATACTGTATATAATAATCAGTTTTTTTCAATTTAAAAATACAGAAAATAGCAAATTAAAAATAACGAAACACTTTATTTTTGTATAGATTTTTGATATTTAAAAATAAATTAAATTTTTAGTTATAATAATAATTAGTTTTATATAACAAATATAATATAATATATAAATCGGTCGCATAATAGTGGAAACTATTTTTTAAAAAGATTAAAAAGACATATTTAAAATTATGCAGAAAAATAAATATTATTAATTTATATTATAAAATATATTATATTATATAAAACATTGTGACAACATTGTATAAATAGTATTATTAAAATATTTTTTAATTATTATTTTTCATAAAATACATAAAATAAAAATAATATAATTTTTTTGTAGAGTACAATAGTTTCATTATATACTATATATTTTTTAAAAAATAAAAATCCTAGTAACTTATTAATTTTTTTTTAGTTTTGTTTTATTTATACATTTATATATATATATATACTGTATATATATCTACATAATTATTTATATCCCGTTATTACAGTATTTTATAAATATTATATCGCTCTTAGACCTGTAAAATATAGCTATTTTTACCCTTAGCTCCCGATTATTATAGCTCGCGATATTGAATTAATACTAAACCAATCAAAATTTAGAAATAATTTAAATTGTTTAACGGTTTCACAGTCATTAATAAATTGTTAACTCATACTAGCAAAACCCATAAGCATAATCTAATGGTAAAATCAGCTTAAGAAGTTGAGGAATAGATCATATTATCATTTAATGGTAAAATCAGCTTGTGATCTAAAATTATACATTTGCTATTAGTATTTCCAGCTATTTTTACCATTAGATGATAATTGGATCTAATTATCATCATCTTCAGCTATTTTTACCATTAGATGATAATTGGATCTAATTATCATCATCTTCAGCTATTTTTGCCATTAGATAATTAGATCTAATTATCATCATCTTCAGCTATTTTTACCATTAGATGATAATTGGATCTAATTATCATCATCTTCAGCTATTTTTTCCCATTTTATAATTTGTGACTAAGTATAAATGAAAAAATTTAAACATATTTTATAATTGCTTATCAAAGACATACATAAAATAAATCTTTATTAACATATGGATAATTTTTAAAATCAACTATAGTTTAAATTTTATTCGATCAATTCTGATTGGTTGATTTGCTCTGTGCCGACGGCACACTTTAGGATTCAAAGGTATACATCGATTTGTGCCGATGGCACACGTTTGTTGTTAGCGCGTTAACGCGTATATATATATATATTATATTATATATACTGGATATATATATATTAAATATATTTAATAGTTATTTAGTGTATATATTTTATAGTTATTTAGTGTATATATTTAATAGTTAAAAAAAATATAAACTTATTAAAATATATTTAAGATAAAAAATTAAAATCAAATATATATATATATATATAAATTTCTAATTAAACAGCAATATTAAAAATATTTGATTTTAATTTTTTATCTTATGTATGTATATACTGTAATACAATACCCCCTAGTTAAAAATTGTGATAAACATAAAACAATTGTAATTTTATTAGATTACTAGACAAAAATTAGCTATTGGAAATTTCTCATTAAATTAAACAATACATTGATTAAATAAAAATTTCTAATTAATATATCTAATCATATAAAAAAATTGATAATTTTCTAGTATATCTATATCTATAGGAAACTTATTGATAATGATAAAAACATTCAACATTTTTTTTGGCTATATATATATACTGATTATTTAATGTTAAAAAAAACTACAATATATTTTTTTGTTATAAACAAAATTATTATAAATATATTAATAATTATTTAAACAAAACTTAAATAATGTTAAAAATAAATCAATTGATTTTGTTATTGTGTACTATTGTTGGCTATTATAATGTTAACGCATTATATACTATTGATAGTAATGAGGTACAGTATAAACTATATAAATATAAGTTAATTAACAAACATGTTTTTTTTTAAAAATAATAATAATATTTTTATAACAGCAAACAAACAATGAAACCGAAAAGTCTATCTATATATGCGGCGGTGGGAGTGATAAGGCATCGACACTGTCGACATGTTTTCAATATAATACCAGTGCCCGGGTTTGGCAACCAATAGCCGAAATGTCTACCAAACGTATTGCGTTTGCATTAGTTTCAAACAGGGATTCAAAATTGTATGCAATGGGCGGCTATAATGTATGTATAGAAATAAAAAAAAAATTATTATATAAAAAAAATTAATATTACAATTTGTATTACAAATAATAATAATAATAATAATTAATACCATCTAAAAGCCATTGTCCCGGGAGTTATATACCACTGAAACATATGATATCGAAACAAATACGTGGACAACATTTGCACCAATGAAACTAAAAATCAAGTAATTATTTATTTATTTTTTTTTTAATTTTAAAATTGTTATAAATAATTATTAATAATATTAATTAATTAATTAATTAATTTTTTTTGTTGGTAACAATTTTTTAGACAATTAGATGCAGCAGTTATTAGACATACAATGTTTGTTTGCGGCGGTTTTTATGGTAAATAAATATATATATATATATATACAGTATATATATAAAATAAAAATAGTTTAAACAATGTTAATTATATAAATAATAATTTTACATTTTATTATTATTATTTTTTAAAAATGTTTTTTTTTAATTACTACTACCCAATAATCAGACGGTGACACCTATAAACAGTGTCAATATTATTTAGCCGGTAAGGATGAATGGCAGCTGATTAAGGACAGTATGATAACGGAAAGGCGTGAACTGGCACTGGTTGCCAACGATGACTATTTGTATGCTATCGGCGGCAATAGTCAAGTAGTGGCCAATGAAACAACAATGGAAAGATGGGACCTGTTAAACAATGGTTGGACCCAGGTAGAAAAGTTGACATCACCAAGGTAGTTAAGATTATTATTATTATTAGTATTTTAGCATTACTGTGTGTTATTTTTTTTATATAACTATCTATAAACTAATAATTAGTTATATATATATATATACTGTAATAATCACCAAGGTAATGATAATAATAATAATATGATTATTATTATTATTATTTATAGTGTATTATTATTAATATGTTTTTTAAAAACAAATTAAGTTTCTAATTAGTGATACAATAGTAATAACTTTTAGTTTATATAATAGTTTATAATAGTTTATAATAGTTTATAATAGTTTATAATATCAATAGTTTATAAAAATATTTTTTTTTTGATTATGTTTTAGTTTTTTAAAAAAAGTTAAATTTACAATATATTTAAATGATTTATGATTAAAAATTTGATCCAGGTCAGCATTTGGTGCCAGCTCATTGTTGGGCAAAATCTATGTGTGCGGCGGTTGGGGACTACAGGGGGACAGTAGTGACGGAAAGTCATGCGATAGATATGATCCGGAAACAGATGAATGGCAACCAATTGGTTAGTATTATAATTATTATTATTATTTTTTTTTAAATTAATTATATTTAAAAAAAAACTATTATTTTACTATAATTTTTTAGCACCAATGTTATCCAAAAGGCGTGCATTTAAATTGGTTACATTGGATGATAAGCTATATGCTCTGGGTGGTTTTATGGGTAATTATTATTATATTAATAAAAAATAAAAGTTTTTTAATTAATAAACATAATAAATATTTAAATTTTTTATTTAAATTAAAAAAAGATCATGAATTAACAAATACGGTTGAAGTATACGATTATGAACTAAATCAATGGCAATACACCAAACCATTACCCGAAAAACTTGCGGACTTTGCGGTAAAATCTAAAAAAAAAATATTTTAATTATTTATAAATTTTATTTAATTTTTTTTAAAAAATTTTTTAGGCCACTGTGGCATAAACAAGTTGAATGGATAGTGGAAACCAAATAAAACAAATTAATATTTTTTATGAATATCAAAAAGCTATTAGTTTTTAAAAAAAATTTATTTTCAATTATTTTTTCAATTATTAAAATTAATTAATTAAATTATTATAAATAAAAATAAACTGATAATATTTTTTTGTCAAATAATTTTTGTAATTTTTTTTTTAATACCAAATTATATTAATGTTTAATATAATATTTTTAAATAAGTAGACTAATAGAAAATTATTAACTAAATAATCTACTTATTTAAATTATATATAAAAAATTAAGTTATAATAAATTATAACAAAAATAGTAACAAAAACTGTATTATTAAATTTAAAAATAACTTTAATATTATAATTATTTATTATTTCATATATATATAATTTTTACAACTTAAATCATAAATAATATTAAATCTAATTGTTTTAAAACTATAAAAACCAAAATAAATAAGTTAAGTTAAAAATATACAAAATATAAATAAACAATTTAGTTAATTAAATATATATTGTATATATATTTTGCAATACTAATCAATTGGGTTTATTTTTTTTATAGATAATACCTGCATGTTTTTTTAATTAGATATTATTTTTTATCATTTTAAGTAATTTATTTTTATGATAAAAAACTATTAGTTAATATCAATTTACTAATTATCAATATATATATATTTTTACTAACTACTGTACTTATAATTACATAGATTTATTAATTAAATTATCTAGCTAAATAACAGTGATAATAACATATGGATAAATTTTTATTTTTTTTTATATAAAAGTACATTTAGGTTATTTATAATTATAATCTATTGCTATAATTAATATTAATATATCTTTGTATATCTATTGGTTTCTAAAGTATTTATAAAATGATAATGTTATTATTAAAAATAAAAATAAATTCATCCTGTTAATTTTATTTTAAGAGATATTATTATAATGATAAAAGTTAATGATAATATTTTTTAATCAATGTACTTATATATATATATATGATTATTAGATGTCATGATAAAATCAATATATAATTAGTACACTAATTATAATCTGAAAATTAGAAAAATATGTTGTTTTTAATAATTAATAAAAATTACATAAAATGTTTGAAATAATAAATTTTTTTGATGTAATAATTTTTTTTAATTGCTATTACAATGTTAACTCAATATATATATATATATACAGTAATATATAAATATAAAATGTTATTATTTTTGTATTAAAAAATACTTTTTTTTAAATACAAATACAATAGATTAGTGTATATTTACATTAAAATTACAGTTTAAAATTTAGGCTATTTATTATTGGCTATTCTATAGTATAATTTTTAAAATAAAAGTAAAAAATATAAATAAAAAATTAATAATTTTTTAAGACATTTTGTTTTTTGCTTACAAATAGTTATTAGAAATATTTATTATTTTTAATAATAATAATAAAAACTGTTGTAATCAAAATTATTATTATTTTTATTAAAAAACTTTAAATAATAAATATATAGAATTTTTGAAAAAAAACAAATTATTTAATAATAATAATAATAATAAATCATTTAATTATTATTATATTATTTTTTTCAATTGTTGTTTTCAGTCTGATTTTTCTAAGTCTACTACATAACTGTAGCCTAAAAATAATATAATTGAGAAAAAAATAAATTAATATTTATTTATAAAAATAAAGTAATAATAATAATAATAATAATATTTACCGCAAATTCTGAACATTTATGCGGTAATGATTGGGTGTATTGCCATTGATTTAGTTTATAATCGTATACTTCAACCGTATCTGTATTTTCGTAATCTTTTAATTTATTTTTTTTTAAAAAATATATAAATTATAATTTTATTAAAATTATTAATATAATTAATTAATCACTAAAATGATATTTAATAATTAAATATTATTTTAAATATATTAAATAATTTAATATAATAATAATAATATATATATATAAATATATATATACTAAATAATTAATTACCCGTATATCCACCCAGAGCATATAGACTATTATCCAGGACAACTAATTGAAAATCTCTACGATTAGATAACATTGATGCTAATTGAAAATCAACAACAAAAATAAAATTAAAAAAATTAATAATAATTATAATAATACTAATACTAATAATACTAATAATAATAATACTAATAATAATAATACTAATAATAATAATATTACTAATAATAATATTACTACTAATTATAATAATATTACTATTAATAATAATAATATTACTACTACTACTAATTATAATATTAATAATAATAATAATATTACTAATAATAATACTACTACTAAAAAACAAATAAAATACTAACCAATTGGTGTCCATTGGTTAGTAATCGGATCATACGATTCGCATGACTTACTATCACTCCAGGTATGTCCGCCGCACACATAAATTTTGTCCATAAATACGGCCGAACCAAACCATGATCTAAAACCAGGGATCAATTTTTATTTTCAAAAAATTATAATAATAATACTAATATTATAATAACCTCATTGTTTCAGTCATATTCGGCATTGGTATCCATTGTCTGGTTTGCGGATCAAATTTTTCCATTGAATTCAAACCATAGCCACCGATAGCGTATAGATAGTTGCCGTGAGCTACCAGTCCGAGACCAGTACGTCTCATAGTCAATGGTGTAGTCAATTGCCATTTATTAGCTTCTGGTGTATAATATTCACATTCCTGTCTATATTCCTCTAAATTTTAATTTTGAAATTTTAAAATTATATATATATATGTTTATTAATTTTTGAATTAAATTTAATTAATTTTAATTTATATAATTTAATAAAATAAAATTATTATTAATTATAATTACCATTTTGTCCGCCGCAATCATAGATAGTATTATTTAGTACTGCAGTAGCAAATTGTCTATTAAATTATTTAAAAAAAATAATAATATAATATTTAATTAATATTTAATTAAAAATTTACCCTCGTGAAAATAAAACATTAGCCAATTGGTGCCACAAATTGGTTTCAGGATCATATGATTCAACTGAATTTCTCAGATAAATGTTCTAGGTTAAATATTTTTTTTTATAAATTAATTGTTTAAAAAATTACAAAAAAAATAAATTTAATTATTATTTATATATTGTAAATTATTATTTTTTTTAAAAAATATTTAGATAAAAATTATATAATATATATATATATATAATAAAACTACTTACAGTTGTACCGCTAATTGCTATTAGTTTATTATCTATGGATACCAGTCCAAAGTTTGACCGATCGGCGGACATGGAGGCTATAGTATACCATTTGCGGCTCAGGGAGCTATATTTATAACAATTTGATTGATGCCAACCATCAATATTACCGCCACATATATAAATAAATTTTTCATCGCTAGACTAGTTATAATAAATAATTTTAATATTAAATTATAATAGAAAAAAATTGTTTATTAAAAATTATAAAAAAATTATTATTATACGCATTTTTCTATTATTATTATTATTATAACTTACATTATTATAATTATTATTGTTAATAGGATTAGCAGTTATTAATGTAATAATATTAACATTAAAATAGCAAACAATAGCTGTCAACAATAACAATATCAACTTGGTCATTTTTTAATTTTATTTATTATATATTATTAATATATTTTTTTTGTAAATTATAAAAACTTATTTTATTAAATACTTAAAAAACTCAACAATGTGATTATCTTATATATATATTAACTATTAAAAAATGTAACTTTTGTTTTTATATATATAATTAATTTTTCTACAAATGTATAAATTTTAATTTTTTTTAGTCCATTATATACCAAAATAAAATAAAATGATTATTAATTTTATCATTTAAAATAATAATAATAATAATAATGCTATTTGTTTTAGTTTAATATAATTTTTATTATAAAATTAAAAAAAAATCACATGTTGAAATTACTACTTATAATAATTACAACAACAAAAAATATATGATATGATAAATCAATTATTTTTTGGTATCATTTATTAATTTATGATTAAACTATTAATGAGAGACTGACTATATCTACTACAACAACAAAAATATTGTTTAATAATATTGTTTTTATTCAAACATTTTTTTTTGGTACTAAATGTACTGATAATAAAAATTTCATCAAACAATTGCAAAAAAAAAATAATAATAATAATCTTATATACAGCTAATATTTTTTTAATAATTATATTTAATAATAATAATGATATTTTTAAAAAAAAACTCCTATTATTAAAAACTTTAATTTCACTAATATTTGTAATAAAAATAATTAATTTTATTTAATAAGTAGTTTCTAGTATTTTATCTAAAAAAATTTATATATTTATATAACATTTTATTAGCACATGTTTAATAAATCCTAGTAAGTAAATAATTTAAATTTTTTATTGATGTATATTATATATATATATATATATAAATAAATTTAAGGATACATATAGTTAATAGAGATTATATAAAAATATGTTTAATTAAAAAAATAAATGTATTTTTTAATAAAAAAAAGTTATATTTCAAAATATTATAGTTTTAATTTATTTTAATTATAGTTAATAAGTTTAAATATTTTTAATAATTAATATTACAATATTTTCTTACAAATAATTATAGTAACAATTAATTATAGTAACAATTAATTATAGTAACAATTAATAGCAAAAATAATAGTATATTTATAACTGAAAAAAAGTAACTGACTTTATTAATTTAAAAAAAAATAAATCATATAATCATATTTTAATTAAATAAAAATAGTATAATAATTAATAATTATTACTAAATAAAAAAGCAATTTATGAATATAATTTTTTTTTTTCATTATAGTATAATAGAAATAATATTTTAATTTTCATTCATTAAATAGTTTCCAAATTTGAAATAATCTGAAATATTTTTTGTTTACATAACAGTTGCCTAAAAAATAAAAATAAAATTAAAAAAATATTAAAAACAATTTTTTAAAAATAATTATTAATATTTCAATATTTATACCGCAAATGCTGAACAATTATGCGGTAATGATTGTGTGTATTGCCATTGATTTAGTTTATAGTCGTATACTTCAACCGTATTAGTATTTTCGTGATCTTTAAAATATATTAAATTTAATTTTTTTAATTATTACTATTAAATAAAAAATCATTAAATATTAACTAAATAATAATTATTACTAACCCATAAAACCACCCAGAGCATATAGAAAATTATCCAGGGCAACTAATTGAAAATCAATACGTTTTGATAGCATTGATGCTAAATATAAAAAATAATAAAATTCAATATATTATTATTAATAATTATAATTTTACTAATAATTATAATTTTACTAATAATCATAATATTGCTAATAATCATAATATTGCTAATAATTATAATATTACTAATAATTATAATATAACTAATAATTATAATATAACTAATAATTATAATATTACTAATAATTATAATATAACTAATAATAATTATAATATAACTAATAATAATTATAATATTACTAATAATAATTATAATATTACTAATAATAATTATAATATTACTAATAATAATTATAATATTACTAATAATAATTATAATATTACTAATAATAATTATAATATTACTAATAATAATTATAATATTACTAATAATAATTATAATATTACTAATAATAATTATAATATTACTAATAATAATTATAATATTACTAATAATAATTATAATATTACTAATAATAATTATAATATTACTAATAATAATTATAATATTACTAATAATAATTATAATATTACTAATAATAATTATAATATTACTAATAATAATTATAATATTACTAATAATAATTATAATATTACTAATAATAATTATAATATTAAAAATAATAATAAATTACTAACCAATTGATGTCCATTTGTTAGTAATCGGATCATACGATTCACACGATTTACTATCGCTGCCATCGTGTCCGCCGCACACATAAATTTTGTCCATAAATACGGCCGAACCAAACCATGATCTATATATATATCGATATATCGGTAAATATATTATTAGTTTCAATTAAAAAATATTAATTTAATAATAATAATAAACACTAACCTTGTTTTTGCCGACATATTTGCCGCCATTGGTGTCCATTGTTTGGATTGCGAATCAAATCTTTCCATTGAATTCAAACCGTTGCCACCGATAGCGTACAAATGGTTGCCGAGAGCTACCAGTCCGAGACCACTGCGTCTAACTGTCAACGGTGTACTAGCCGTCCATTTGTTAGCTTCCGGTATATATGATTCACAAACAAAATACTCTTCGCCTGAAATAAAATACAGATAAATATAATTATTTATATAATACAAGTTATATATATATATCAGAGTTAATCAAGGTTTTAGATTTTAAGGGGGGGTCTAGGGTGGGGTCAACTAGGTTCAACTCCACCCTACCCCTTGCTTAACCCTGATATATATATATATAGTATATAACTTTATATAGTATTTATTGATTTGAAAATATAAATTATATGTTATTTTTATATTATTATTATTATTATATACAGTAGTATACAGTATTAATATACCATTTTTTCCGCCGCAAACATAAATAGCATTATTTAGTACTGCCGTACCAAATGATCTATTGATTAATTAATTAATAAAATTAAAATTTATAAAAACTATAAATTACCAACAACAAAAATCTAATTAATTTTTAGTTTACAAAAAATTAATTTATTTAAATAAAATTTACCCTCGTGTAAATATAACATTTGACAATTGATGCCATGAATCAGTTATGGGATCATACACTTCAACCGTATCCCTTTTCCACCAATTCTATAGTAATAATAATAATTATTAAAAAAATTAAATTTTAATTTTAATTAAAAAAAATAGTAAAAATTTTGGTAAATTATTATATATTTTTTTAATAATTATTATTATTATAAATACTTACAGTTGTACCGCTAATAGCGTACAATTTATTATTCAGTGAAACCAATCCAAAGTTTGCCCTATAGGTAGACATATCGGGTATTGTATGCCATTCCCGACTCAGGGCGCTATAATGATAGCAATATGACTGATCTGAACCATCACTTTCACCGCCGCATAAATAGATTAGCTTTTCATCGCTGGACTGTTTGTATTAAAAAATTATAAAAAATAATTACAATTAATTAAACTAATTAATTTTAATAATAAATATTTTTTTTAATAGTTAACTTACATTATTAATTGGTATAGCATTTATTAGTAGTGTATTAATAACACTAACATAGCAAACACTAGCTGTCAACAATATCAACTTGGTCATTTTTGTGATGATAATATTACTTTAATATGTATATTTTAATAATTTTAAATTACTAAACAATAATAATGTTAGTTATTATTATTATTATTAATTATTATTATTATATTATTTATAAAAAATATTTATTAAATACTATTCATATATTGATTTGTTTGTTGTTGTCTCTTATATACAAAAAAAAACAAAATTTATTATCACTTTAATCTTAAAATAATTTGTTATTTTAATTATAAATGCTAGGAATTAGAAAATTTATCATGCTACTTGTGTTTGTTTTAATATTAGATTAAATATATATTACTTAAATTATTACAACTAAATATATTTTGATAAAAAAACATTTAATAGGATAATTATAATTAATTTTATTTATCTATTATTATTAAACATTGTAAACTGTATTTTAAATAACTGTATTATCAGATACTACCCTAAAAGTACTTAATATTAATAATAATATAAGATATATTGTGTTTTATTATTATTTTGTTATTGTTTTAATACACACTTAATGCACTCTAAGTTTATATTTATTTTATTTAATTAACAAAAAAATTCATCAAACAGTTAGCAATTTTATTATTTTTTTTGGATACCGTTGTTAAAAAATAAATTAAGTAAAAAATAGCAAAATTAAACAAATATATTATTTATTGATGTTTTTTTTATAAAAAAAATAATTATATAAAATCCTAGTAACTCCTCAATGTTTATGATATATATATATATATACAGTATATATCCGCATATATATATTTAAGGATACGGATAGGGACAGGGATGTATTATTTTTATATACTGGTTTAAAAATATAATAATTTTTTTTAAAGAAAATAAGTTTACTTTTTTATTATGAAACAATAATTATTATTATTACATAACTTAAATTGTAATTTCTAACTAATTGATTAAAAACTTCAAAAAATTAATTAAATAGAAAACTACTGATAAAAATAGTAAAATTTAGATTTATAATTTTAAAAATAATATAAATTATAATACAAATAATTAATTATGTAATATATACTTTTAGATTTTTTTTAGTATATTTTATTTGTAATTAATTTTAATTTTTTTAAAAAACAATATAAACTACATAGTTATATATCAATAATTAAATATTCAATACATATAACAAAATATCAAAGCAGTTTTTATTTAATTAATAAATATTTGTTTCATTATATTACAAATATATATATAAATTTGTTTTAATTATTATACTATTAATAATACTATTCAAAAAAAAATTTATCTAAAATTTTTTTAATAATTATATCAAAAAAACAATATTTTTTAATAAACTAATACTAATTATTTGATTTTTGCTTTCCATCTCAACGCCAGATAAGCCAACACTTGAAATATAACTGTATATATGGACAGTAGGGCTATATATTTGTAGAGATCTTGATCCCGGAGCGCAAACCAGTCCAGCATTTTGCTCGGATGCTGACCAGTCAGGTATCGGTTGAATGCTTTGAGGCCACCAGTGGTCAGATTTGCCGTAGCGTCTGACCAATCGAGACAGTCATTTAGTTGGCCAATATTTACGGCAAATTCGTGGCCCAAGTCATCCATAGTTATCGGTTGGATAGCACCGGGACATCGATCAAAACCGTACAGTATTATCAACATTGCCTCATAGGTTAGTCTATTGAAGAAAAAAATACAAAATACAAAATAAAAATTATATAAAATTATAAATATTTATTAATTAATTAATTAACTAATTAACTAATTAACTAAAAAAATAAAATTAATTAAATACTGAAATTAGGTATTTGTATTAATAATGATAATTATTATATATTAATAAAGTTTATAAAATTTATATATTAATAGCTAAACTGTTTGTATGTCTATAAATAAGTTATTTAAAAAAATAAATTATTTATTTTATTATAATATTTTTTGTTTGATGAATAATAAAAACTGTAATTTTTTAATTATTATTAATTTGCATAAATTTTTATAATATTTTACATTGATCAAAATTTAGGGGTTGGTTTAATTGGGAAATATTATTATTTATTTATTAATAATAATACTAACATTTCAATAGTCATATTTCAAGTATAGTATTTAGGAATAAAAATATTTAAAAACTTTTATTTTTAATTTTTTTTTATTAGTATACTATTGAATATATAAATAATAATAATAATAATAATAATTACCTAAATATTGACAAATAGGACAGTGTCTGCATATAGCCAGGCATTGTACGTATGGGTATTAGGGCACCGCTGGTCAATAGAAACGGTACGACAAATATGGCGAACGACATTAGGGCTGCCCTAACGTTACTGATGAATATGGCCGACAATAGTAAACCCATACCATGGGATACCAGTGCCAGGAGTACAATGACCACCAGGTGTATTGAGAAACGCCACAAATCCCAGGCCTGGCCAGTGATCAGCCAGAGTAGTCCGGCATAGACTACTGGCAGGACTATTACGACGGGTATGTCGACTATTGATTTGGCCATAAAGTATGACCAAGTGGTGTACCATTTGTTGAACCGTTCCTTTATATATTCAAATAAATAAATAAAAATTTTAATTTAAAAAAAATAATATTTTTCTAAATATATTAAATTCAATAAAAAATAATTAATTATAAGTTTATATTATATAGACTTAATAAAAAAAATTTCAAAAATAATAAAATAATAATTATTAGTAATAATAATCAAATATATCTTTATATTAATTTGTAACAGTACTTAAAAATTTTAAATATATATATAATTTATATTATATTATATATATATATATTTAAATAACATTTTTTAGTATAATTAGTTGACCACAAAAAAAATAATAACTATTATTAATTAATTACTTTATAATAATAATAATTAAAAAAAATACGAGATTTTTTTCACGAGATAATTGAAATAATTTTTTTTATCATTATTTGAAAATTATTATAAATAGTTATAATTTTTTTCAAATAATCATTCAATTAATAATCACAAAACTATTGTATAAAAATAGAGGGGAAGTGACAGTTGAGAGAGAGAGATAGATAGACAAGTGAGGGGACAGTTATGTTTATGATCAACTCGTTAGAGGGTATAGTATGGCTGGCCATTGGCCTGTTTGTCGGCATTGAACTCGAGGCCCGTTTTATAGTATCGCAACGCGAAGGCTATCTGTCGCTAAAACATTGGTTAACACAACTGATACGCCAACGACTCGAGCGACTGGTGCCACCAGAGAGACTACCGGTGCCACCGGCAAACAACGATGATGATGAGGAAGGACTGGGAGTACAATCAGGACAGGGAGTAGAAGGAGGACAGGAAAACAGTAGTAGTAGTAGTAGACATCATCAAAAACGGATTCACCGGAAAAAGAGAGAAAATCATAAAATCATAACTTAATGGATACAAACAGAGAGATTAGAGAGAGAAAAAAAAGCCAACTGTCCCTATCATTTCATTTATTTAGTCACCCCTACTATCTGTACAAAAATCAAATGTATTGCATAACAAACAAAAAACAATATATATATATATATATATAATATATATTATATATGATTAGATACTGTACTAAATGGGTATAGAAAATGTTTTATTAAATAAAATATTATGTGTATATAAAACATTGTAATATTGTGTAATGTTTTTTTCAACAAAAAAAATTAATTAAAAAATCTATTCAATGGACAGTTAGCTAAAAATAATTCAGTATTTTTTGTTGTTGTTGATAAGTTGGGTCATATATTATGATAATATCTATTAATAGATATAGTTTTATTTGACAACAAACCAACTGTTCTCTCTCTAACTCTACATTAATATTTCATATCCCTGTGCCCCCTGACTTACATACATAAGCTTAACACCATCAATACCTATCAACAAAAAATATGTTAAAAAAACTAATTTCTTATTTATTAGTAATATATATATATTCATAATATATACAGTATATTGTAGTTATTATTATACTCTAGTTAGCTCTAACCCACCCCACTCCCACCGTAACCCATTAATCCCTTGAACCCCTGAACCCCTGAACCCCTGAACCCCTGAACCCCTGAACCCCTGAACCCCTGAACCCCTGAACCCCTGAACCCCTGAACCCCTGAACCCCTGAACCCCTGAACCCCTGAACCCCTGAACCCCTGAACCCCTGAACCCCTGAACCCCTGAACCCCTGAACCCCTGAACCCCTGAACCCCTGAACCCCTGAACCCCTGAACCCCTGAACCCCTGAACCCCTGAACCCCTGAACCCCTGAACCCCTGAACCCCTGAACCCCTGAACCCCTGAACCCCTGAACCCCTGAACCCCTGAACCCCTGAACCCCTGAACCCCTGAACCCCTGAACCCCTGTAACCCCTGAACCCCATTACCTTAACAAATGTGTTCAATTCGATGGGAAAGGTCATCAGTGTCGGTGCTATCGTACAGAAGTGTATGAACATCATTGTTGTCAATATATACGATATGTTTTGTATTGAACGAAACGATTTCTGTATGGATGACTCTTTCAGATGAATTGATCGAAGTTTTTGGAAAACATCATCCGAGTTGACACAACTGGTCGCCGATTGATGACCGGATACTTTACTGTAGATAATCAGTTTGGACAGTAGGGAAAATAGTAGGCCGAGTATACGTAGCCAATAGTTTAGCGGCTGCCGTACGGATACCAGACCCGATCGACGGATCAGTATCCAGGAGTTGCCAAACTGTTGGCTGAAGTTGTCGGGGGGCAGATGAATACTGAATCGATGATTGTTTTTTCGATGGAGACGACTGTCCCCTGATATGAGCTCGTCTTTGCTAACTGTCTGATGGTCTAACAGTGGCCGCGATTTATGGCGTTCATAGGCGACCAATGTTTCAATTGCCTGCATATATATATAGGGATGGGAAGTCATAATTTAGTATACAGTAGTAATACATACACACATACATACATCAGATCCATGTCCACCACTGGCTATCTCTATGACATAATCGGCCGGATTATGAAATACCTAAACAAATATGTTATGTTAAAAAAATAATTATATGATTATATTAAAACACGTATTTATCGGTCACTTACGGGACAATTGAGACCAAACTTTGATAAGTGTTCAACCAGTGTCTGTGTCGGTCCACTGTAGACACACTGGCCGTCGACAGACAATACGTATATGTTGTCAAAAAATCCCAACAATCTGGCGGTCGGCTGATGTATGGACGCACCGATTATCAGCGGTTCTCTGTTTGCGGACAATGTTTTCAGCAACGATAGACACTGGTATGAGGAACGGGAGTCCAAACCGGTAGTCGGTTCGTCCAATAGTAGAACATTCGGTGAGAATATTAATTCCAGAGCAATGGACAGTCGTTTTTTTTGGCCGCCACTAATACTACCGGTCCGGACGTGAGCACAGCTGCCCAGTCCTATGGCTTCGATTAGCTGATGAACATATGGATCGGTCGAGTATTTCGGTTCGACTAACGGTTCGCTTAGTGGTCTACAGCTATCCAAGCCATCCAAGCGTGTAGTGTCCACAGTATAGCGTATGGTATTATTATTATTATTAATAATAGTGTCGTCAATGCCGTTAGCCGACTGTCCATTTGTGTGGTTGTGTCGATGATAAAAGTCGTACGGTTTATGTGTACCACTGGTCAACTGGGAGGCATACCTGAGCGCCTCCTCTACCGTTAGTTCATTGATCAGTGAATCGCTCTGTGCATTGTAGGCGATCCTTAACTTAACTTTCCTAATATAACAAAAAAATTAATAAATTTGTTATTTGTTAATAATTTTTAACTTATTATAATTAATTAATTAATGGAAAAAAATATGATTACTAATTTTATTGATTAAAATATTTTTTTTTAAATTTATATAAATTATTTAATTAGAAATTAATTTAAATTATTACAGTTTCATAATAATAATAATAAATATTTTGTAATAAAAAATTAATAATATTTTAGTAAACATTTAATTTGTATTAATTTATTTTATTTTATTTTGAAATTTGTTTATTTTACTAGTTTTGTGATTACAATAATAAAAGTTTATTTTTAAATAAAAATTATATATATTATCTTATATTTTATAATTCTAGTTTAAATTAATTTTAATTTTTACTATTATACAGTATATTTAGTACATAATAAAAATTAAAAAATTATTTAACTAGAAATAACCGTATTTTTTAGATTAAATAATTTATTAACTAAAAAAATATATTATTAATATAAAGTGTTTTTATTTTATCATCATCAATCATATTTATTTTCTATATATTTTAATATTATATAATTCACTATTTGAATAATAAACTATTTGAGATAAAAAATTAAAATGCAATTTAAATGTAATATTAAATGTTATATTGATATATATATATATAATGATAATAATTTTGTGTGTAATAAATATAATAAAAAACAAAAACATAATAATAATATTATCCTAAAGTATTAGTGCAAATCAATCATTTAGATATTGCATATTAATAGTGGGTGAGTGAGTGTGTGTTATGCAATAATATCAATACATTTAAAATGTTGCAAAAATATACAGTATATATATATAATGAATATATATTACTAATAAATAAGAAATTAGTTTTTTTTGTTTTAACATATATTTTTTTGATAGGTATTGATGGTTAAGCTTATGTATGTAAGTCAGGGCACAGGGATATGTAATATTAATGTAGAGTTAGAGAGAGAGAGAGAGAGAAAGAGATAGAGAGAGAGAGAGAAAGAGAGAGAGAGATATTAGATAAGGAAAAAACTGTTGTATATTTCAATTCAATAATAAAAAAAAACTTTAAATACATAGTAATTGAATATTTATTATAATCTTATTAGTAATAAATTCAAAAACTATTTTATAAATCAAGGAAAGTGTATTCAAATAAAAAAATAATATTATAATAAATAACTAAATTTTTTAAAATTTACAAATTAGATGTTTTATTCATTTATATTTAATTATAATTACTAATAGACAAACAAACAAAAAATAATAATAATTATAATAATTAAAACTAAGAAATAAAAAATTATATAAAATATACAAAATATATATTTTTTGAACAATTTCTAGTTTTTTTTGTGTTGAAAATTTAAATTTATTTATTTTATACATAAATTTATTAAAAAAAAAACATTTATAGACTTGCATTTGTATTTATAAAATGCTAACCAAAAAAAATATAACAAAATATCATATAATGTATACTTTTTTCTAAAAAAACAAATGTTTGCAAATACTGTAAAATAATATCTAAAAATAAAATAAATTACAATAGTATTAGATTACAGTAAAAAAAAATTTTAAAAACTGTTTACCAAAATAATAATAAAATGGCTAATAATACATGATATAAAAATTATTTAATATAATAAATACAATAATAATTAGTAAATAAGTATTTTTTTATAATAAAAAAAATCTAAATTAATCTAATAATTAATAAAAAATAAAACTAAATATCATATCAAACTTTTTTTTTAAATAAAAAAATCCAATAAAATATACTAAACTTTATTATAATAATAATACTAATAATACTTACTTTTTGGCCGTACTTTTAGCCCACACTCGGCCGGTCAGACCGGCCAACCGTCGGCCGGCCAGGCATTCAATCAATGTTGTCTTACCCGCACCGCTCGGCCCGAGTATACCGGTTAGCGAACCGCTAGACATCTGGCCATTCATATCGTTGACAATGGTTTTCAAACCGCACTTATTATTATTATTATTACCGGTATTTGATTTACTACTACTACTACTACTAGTAGTTGTTTTATCCGATACTTTATAAGTCAATCGACACCAATATAGTGATAGCTTATTATTATCATCCTTATTATCTACCGGTACAGCACCGGTAGATTGGCCTAAACTACCAGTGCCGCTGGCAATCATTGATTCAGTAACACCATTATCATCATCAGTGATAATCATGTCTAACATGATATGATAATATAATATTTTTTTTAATTACCGGTATATATATATATCATATGTATATTTAGTATATGAAACACAATATATGATATATATGTTGATAAAAGTTTTTTTTTAAAAAACAGTATTTTTAGTTTTTTAAAGATATTAATGTACACTATGTATATAAATTGAGATATAAATAATTTATTTTTGTAAAAAAAAAGTTTGACTTAATTGAAACAATAAAAAATAAACTTAAACATCAAATAAATGTTTATTATTTAGCAAACATAATATATTATTATTATTATTTTAAAAATAAATGACTTTTCATTATTATTATTTATTATTTAACATTTAATATTTGCAATAAATAAATATTTATTTATTTTAAAACATACATAATAATAATTATTATTATTATTCATATGTATGTTAAATGAAATATATTGTTTGTAACAACTATTATATTATATATATATATATATATATATATATATAATATTATAATGTCATCACAACATCATAACAACAACTACTACTACTATTACAACTATTACTACTACTACTACCCAAACAGGGGAAAGGGAGGTACAGGGAGTAGTGACTCATTTAATTATAATAATATACCTGTATATTATATAATATTATTTATATATATAAAGTTACTGTAAAACTAAAACATAGATTTCACTGGTATAGTCATTATAAACACACACACAAAAAAACTAATGTAATATAATATACAGTAAATATAACAACTATTAGTAGTAGTAGTAGTAGTAGTAGTAATAATAATAATATTATTATAATAATAATATTCAATATAATAAAACAGTACTAAACTGCTATTCAATAATACCTGTAATACCGGTTAAACGATTTTATTTTGAAAAAAAAATAATATACTATTCAATAATAATAACATTAGAAATAATATATTTTAATATAAATGTTATAACATTATTATATATATATATATATATATATACTGTATATACACACATACACTATGAGCTTATATAGACATACATTTATTTAATAGAAATATATTAATATACAGTACAATATATTTTAATAAATATATTGATAATAATATACAGAGACATTAGGCATTGCATAATAATAATTATTTTTTATTTTATTTTGTTGTTAGTGTAAAACTATTTGTATTTTTTCTAATAATAAAAAATATACTAAAAAAATTTCATATATAAAAATGTGATTATAATTATTGTTACTGTTAAATAAATGTTACTTTAAATTAAATTAGTAAGTATTTAACAAATTTAAAATTATAAATTGAAATAATTAATTATAATATAAATAATTAAATATAATATATATATATATTTATATTTATATTAATTTAATAATAATAATAATAATAATTAGTTTATGAGACAATGATCTGTTAATAAATAAATTAATATTTATATTATCATTATTACAATTATTATTATTTATTACTGATTTATTTACTTATAATAATTAACATTTATAAATGTATTGATTAGTTAATTAATGAGATTAATTAATTATATTTTTAAAGAAAAATTATGATTTATTAAATTCATAATAAATTGTTACTGATCAATTATTAAATAAATAAATAAATAAAACATTGATTTAAAATCATATTAAATTAACATTATATTTTAATATTAATATTAATTTAATAATTATGTTAAAATAGTTTGTAATATATTAAACATAATTGATTTTTTTGTTATTTTCAAAAATAAAAATAAAATAAATTAACAATAATTTAGCTAGATAAATTCAATAGACTATATACTGTATATATGTTTACTACTTAAATATATATTTTTTTATAAATGGTTTTTATTTTATTTTTTATTTTTTTGTGTTATGTATGATTCATATGATTTTGTCGTATGATATTTCAAAATGTCTAGACTTGAGTAAACAAAATATAATAATTTTATAATAATAATAATAATTATTATTATTATTAGTAAATTATTATTATAATTCACAATAACTATTATATTTTATATTTTCATGCGTATAAAGTTACCAATTATTTTTTTTTAATATTATTATATTATTATTTTTATTATTACTAGCATTATCATCAGCATCATCATTAAAATTATTAAATAGTATTATCCATGTTATAATAGAAAAATGATCAAGTAAGTAATGGATTTAATTTAATTTTTAAATTTTAGTTAAACTATTATTTAATTTGAAACTATTTATTTTATTTAAAACAATTATTTATTTTATTTCTATGTAATTTACTAAAATAAATAATTAATAATATATTTATATTTGTTTGTTAATTATCTATGACAACAATAGTAACATTTTTATAATGTTTGTCATTGAACTAGGTGAATTATTATTATTATTATTTTCATTACTATGATAACATAACCTACATTGAAACAAACAAACAAACAAAAAATGTTGCTAGCTAAATATATATACAGTATAATATATATATATATATATATATAATATAATATATATAAATAGTTAGTAAAATAAAAAAAAAATAATTATTTGAAATATTAAATTATTTACAATTACCTTATCTTTATGTTTACATAAAATATTATTTAATTTATTAATAATATTTATTGCATTTTATTATTATTATTACATAACCGATTACACAATAAACTAGGCAACAGTCATATAAATATAAAAAAAATTTATATACAATTAATAATCATACGATTATTTCAATAATAATAATAATAACTGAAAATTGTTGCACAGTTAGATATTAATGTCTGTACCCAATAACCTCACGTTTCATATATATATATATATATATACTGTATATTATAAATAGATATAAAAATATTAAATGATAAGTTATAAAAAATGGTAAAATTAATTATTTTATTAATACAAATATATATTAATTAAATAAAATTGATGGATTGATTGATTGATTAATATATAATTTTTGTATAAATTATTTAATTAAATCTATAAGTTTAATATCTATTTAATATATATATATATATATATATATATATATATATTAATTAAAACACATTTAACTTTGATTTTTATTATTTTATATTATAGTGTAAAGTAATTTTATTAAATATTTTTTTTTATTAATTTTAATTAGTCATTTTTATATTATTGCCAATTGTTTATACATTACATATACATATTTATAAGAAAAATACACCGGTATATTACCAACATTATTGTAATGTTATACTTAAATATATTAATATAATGTATTTCCTAAATATAATTTTTAATAATAATTATCATTACAATGATTACAATATTTTTTTAAAAAAAACAATTTCAATTTTCTTGTCAATAATATATAATACTATCTGACATGACTTTTATTATTTAAATACATTTATTAAATATATATCGGTATTAATTAAAATTATAAAATATATATTACATTTAAATATACTGTATATATATGTAATATAATTTATATTATATTTTGTATCCTATGAACCCGTTAAATACATGATGTTTACTACATACTTATATATATTAATCTACACTAAAAATAAATTATTTATGATACTGTTTAGTGTGTGTATGTGTGTGTATGTATGTGTGTGTATGTATATGTGTATGTATATGTGTATGTGTGTGTATGTGTGTGTATGTGTGTGTATATGTGTGTATGTGTGTGTATGTGTGTGTATGTGTGTGTATGTGTGTGTATGTGTGTGTATGTGTGTGTATGTGTGTGTACGTGTGTGTGTATGTATGTATGTGTATGTGTGTATGTGTGTATGTGTGTATGTGTATATGTGTGTGTGTGTGTATGTATGTATGTGTGTGTGTATGTAAGTGTATGTATTTTCATACGTATGTAATAAATATATTCAATATGTTTTATGATTAGATAAGCTTAAAATAAAATAAAAAAATACAAATTAATTATTTTTCAAATATACTGTATATACAAAAAAAATTATAGAAAAATTTATTTTATTCACTTAAATAATCAATATATTTGTCTCTCTAAATATAAATAATTATATTTATACACAAAAGAGATGCGAGAAATTTATGTACAATTTTTTTTTATTATGTCTTTTAATGTAAAGTTATTTACTTTCATTTAAATATATATATATATATACAGTACATAAATAAATTATTTTATTTAAGTTTTATATTTTTATTTGTTATTTGTATGAATAGAAATGCTATTTTTTATTAGAAAATATTTACGACTAAATATACTGTATATATATATAGTATTAATAGTAATAAATAATTACTAAAATCTTGTTTAAACAAAAATTATATATTACTTTTTTTTCATGTTAACAAACTAATAATAATAATAATAATAATAACACAAAAAATAGTTATTGATTTATTGGTTTATTGCCATATATTTTTTAATATAACAATAAAAATAAAATTATTTATTTAAATATATAAGTACTACATTTACATTTTAATTATTTACTAAATAATATACATGCAAATTTTTATTATTATTATTTTTTCAACAAAACATGTCTAATATAAATATATATATATATATATTTGCAATTGTAGTACAAATCTATTGTATGTTTTTTTTTATTTGACAATACAAGTGAAATATAACAAAATAATAATAATAATAATTGTTATTGAAATTCAATATTATTTATAATAAACAACAATATATTCTGTGTGTGTGTGTGTGTGTGTGTGTGTGTGTGTGTGTGTGTGTGTGTGTGTGTGTGTGTGTATTGTATAATGATTTTAAAATTATTTTATTTATCAATAATATTATATTAAATGATGTATAGTAGTATATCATATATCCTGGTTTAATGGTAACAGTAATATTATATATATATATATATATATATTACTAATAATATAAACTAACTAAATATAGTAGAATTATAATGAAAATAATATTTTTAAGATAACCTTGTACAATAATAAAATAATATTATTTTTTTTGTTAAAAATATTATCTCTATTAATAACAATGTTACAATTATAATTAAAAAAATATGTCACTTTTAAAAAAAATATATAAAATTTCATATAAATATTGTAATATTTTATATTAAATTATATAAGAAAAAATTGTTTGCCAAAAAAAAGTAATAATAATAATAATAATTGCTGATTAAAATATTTTTTTTTATAATAGTAAAACTAATTGTTTGATAAAAACTAATAATAATAATAATAACACACAATACAACAATAGTTATTATTAAATTATTATAAAATTATAATATTATTATGTTTTAATAGATAATAGATTGTATTATATATTACTTAAAATAAAAATTTTTATTTTCAGTTAATAGTACAGTACATACTCTAATATACTAATCTAATTTATTTATTATATATATAATAATATATATATTAATATATATATTAATATATATATATATATAATATATTGTATAATCTAGTTTTATTAACAATATAATATATATATATATATATATTTAATTGGGCGTATATACTATTCAAAAAATGTAGATGTAATTTTGTTAGCATAAAAAACAACAAAAAATTATCTTGCTTATAATATATATATTATAGATTATTCATACCAGTTTTAATGGTGTATTGTTAGCCCTTATTATTTACAGAGCACAGGTAGGTTTTTATTTCTAATACTCTGTGTATATATAGATATAGATAAGGCAACTGATTATTAAGTGTCTGTATATATAGATATATATATATATATATATATATACATTGAATATATCATATGTATATACACTATATGGTTATAATGTATGTGCAATACAATTAATAGTGTTATATAATTTATAAATATACTGTGTATATGCATATTGTGCTAAAACATTACATAATGATTAGTGTATGTATGTATGTATGTATGTGTGTGTGTGTGTTGAGTGCCTGATCTCTAGCACATATACCTTTCAATCTCTCTCTATCACTCACTTACTCTCAATTACTAAGTATAGTACATACCTGTGCTAAAAGTGTACTGTTATATACTGTATATACATACTGTATTTTATATGACTATGTGTGAGTGTATGTGTGTGTGTGTGTGTGTGTGTGTTTGGATAGCGAGCTTAATGTACATATAAATTATATCATATACAGTATATATATAATGTTGTAAAAAAAATTTATTTTATATAAGCAATAGTAGACACACCAAACATCCCATACATAATTGATTGGATCCTTAAATATAATTACATAAGTCATTCACTTCACCCCCACCACCACCACCACCACCACCACCACCACCACCACCACCACCACTAGCACTACCAACACCAGCACCACCACTACTACTATCACTTAACTCACCCATTGATGATATAAACTGTATATACACTGACATTCAGTGTGTGTTTGTATGGATATTGTACTGTAATTTTTTTTATTATTATTATATAACATGACATACCAGTGCGCGCCTAATATATATATATATACATGTCTAGTGAAATACATTTATTGGTGTGTAGTCTGGTATTTAATTTATATACTGTATATACAGTACACACACACATACACACACATTATGTGGTGTTTAAGTGTCTGTTAGATAACAGTATATATATATATCTGTATATAAGTTATATATATATATATATATAAGTCACTCACAATTAGATGATTGGTGTTAAAAGTTATATATATTTATATTTATATACTGTATAAATGAAATTATTGAAACCAACAAATTAAAACAAATAAAAAAATCATTTTTTGTATATATATATATATATATATATTATTTATACAATAATATATACATAAATTATCTATCAATATATATAACAAAGTGTTTATTTGCTGACAATTAGTCGAAATGTGTTTATTTTAAATATATAATTGTGTTTTTTTAAAATAATTATTTATTTATTAATTAATAATTTTAGTAATAATAATACAATTTTCTAAAAAAGTAATTATTTTCTTAAATAACTATTATTTCTATATAAAAAAATTTTAAAATTATATTTTATGTTTGTTTTTTTCAATTATAAATATACTATCATTTATCAAATTTTTTTCTATATAAAAAAAATTTTGCTAGACTAAATTATAAATCATATTTAACTTATTTTTTTTATATTTATTTATTTAAAAAATATATATTATCACAACATACACACACACGCAATAATATTATATACTATATTAAATGTGATATATTTAATAGATTGAAAAAAATAATAATAATAATAAATATTTAATAAATAATTTTATTTAGCTAAGTGTGTGTCTATATCCTAGTTAATACATTTAGAAAATACAATATATATATAATATTTATATATATATAGTATTTATGAAAATATTTGTTTTATTTTTTGTTTTATTTCATATATTTAATAATAACTTTAGTTTTTTTTGACTGATTGTGTTATGTGTCTGTACATGTATTTTGCTGACTAAAAAATTTCTATTAATATATTTATTTTATTATTATTATTATTTTTGTGGTGAGTTTTGTTAGTATATATGTATATATATAAATTATATTCAATATATATATTAATAGTATTGTGAATATCATAAATAATACGATTATTTATTTTTTTTTTCTCTCTCTCTCTCTTTATTTAATAATATATAGAAATTTTTATTAAAACAAAAAACAGTTTATATATAAATATATATATATTGTGTAACCATTTGGTTGAGTTTTATCGCATAAATGTCATCATATTATTACTATAGACTGTCATCAGTTGGCCTGTTATAGCAACAAAAAATTTATATTTATGTTTATTATATAAATATATAAATATATTATATATATTTAATAATATAAATTTAATAATAAATAATATTAAATTGAAAACATATATATATACATTATATACAGTATATATTAAATGATATGACATTTAAAAATAATTATTGTGTTGATAGTGTGCCAATATTTTTTTGAAAAAACAAAATTTAAAAAATAAAAACATTTTTTTTAAATAGTGCTAAATAATAACTACTAATAATAATTGAAAATTATTAATTTTAATAATAATAATAATTTAAATTTCTGGTGAAATAACAATTAATAACTACAACAACAACAAAATTGTTGAAAACACACAATTAACACAAATGTTTGCTATCAAGGGTTTACTAACAGTGATGTCAAATATGACTATTCAAACAAAATTATTACAACTATCTCGACGACTATAGTAAGTAAAAAAAATTTTAAATAATTTAATTAAATTAAAATTAGTTAAATATTTTTTTAAAAAAAGTATTTTTTTAGTACAAATAAATATTATAATTAATAAATTAAATTAATTAATAGTAATAGTTATTAATAATAATAAATAAAACATACAAAAAAAATTTAAAAAATTGAACATGTGATTTTATCATGTTGATACTTTCACTTTAATCTAATTTAATTTATCTAATATATATATATATATATATATATATATATATACATAAATTATATACATATACATTAAATACAGTACAAATATACACACTATGCTATTAATTATAGATATATATATATATATATATATATACAATATATATAGTATATATACATTTTTGTTTAATGTGATACATAAAAACTGTTTTTAATGACAACATAGGCATAGTTGGGTGTGTGTGTGTGTGTGTGTGTGTGTGTGTGTGAGGAGTAGGAGGGGTGGGGAGCACATACCGGCAGGCATTGTGTACAGTTATATTAGGCATACAGTTATATATACAGTATATCTATAATATTTATATACATTGTAAATGTATTTTACTGTATATATATATATATATATATATATATATATCTAAAGTCAAAGGTCTATTAAAGTACAGTACAGTATATTTTACAATAACTTATATGTTTAGTGAGTCATAGCACTTGACTATCGATAAGTTTTTTTTATTGTGATTATATATACAGTATATGTGTATAAGTTATAACTTATATTAATTAATTTAAAAAAATGTGATTATTTAAGTAATCAATGAGTGAGTAAGGTAAAATAGTTATGTTGCTAACTTATATACAACTAGTATAATGTACTTGTATGTATATGATATAATACTGTAGCTCAGGTATGTTAATAACCAGATTAAAATGTGTATGTGTATGTGTATGTGTATGTGTATGTGTATGTGTATGTGTATGTGTATGTGTATGTGTATGTGTATGTGTATGTGTATGTGTATGTGTATGTGTATGTGTATGTGTATGTGTATGTGTATGTGTATGTGTATGTGTATGTGTATGTGTATGTGTATGTGTATGTGTATGTGTATGTGTATGTGTATGTGTATGTGTATGTGTATGTGTATGTGTATGTGTATGTGTATGTGTATGTGTGTAAATAAATAACATGCTAGATTAGTAATAGTATAATTTATTGTACCATATTATAAATATAATATATATACACTATTTTATTGCATAATATAAAATAACAATATTTTACTACCAGGGTCAATAGTACCTAATATGATATACTATATTATATACTGTACTTATAATTAACAACTATTAACAATGTTATTTAGTATTGTATAAAAATATTTACTTAATGACCTTTTATTGTATATCAATGTAATAAAAATTAAATATTACAAAATAATAATAATAATAATAATAATTTTATCGTTTATCGTATTACTTGAAACAACAATAAAAAATGTTATACAATGTTATATACAAATGTTATAACTTATATATTGTATATAACATTGTTTGTTTCAATTTATTATACAATTTTGATAAAAAAAATTTGTTTAAATATTGTTACTAAGTATTTGATATAATAAATAGTAGATATATAACAAAAATTTTATCAAAATTAATTAATTTTTTTCATTTGAAAAATTACAGTATACCTAATGATAATTTTACTTTTTTTAGTTGTAAAACGTTTGCATATTTTATTTTTTTAAAATAAGATTAAATTTTAGTTATGTAAGTTATTTTTTTTATTGAAATTATTATCACACAAAAAATATTAGAAATTAAATAATTAAATTATATAAAGTATCCGTTTTTTTTATAAAAAAAATGTAAAAGTAATCAAAATTGATAATTTTTATAGAAAATTATTCAAACAAAAAATAAATTTAATCATAATTTATCAAAAATAGTTAATTTTTTAAAATATATATATATAAGCGTCAAAAAATTATTTTGAATAAATTATTAAACTATTAATTAATTTAAAATTTTAATTTAACTGTACATAATTTACAACAACAAAAAATTCAACAACAACAAAATTATTACTTAATTTTTATTTTAAATAAATAATAATTAATATCTAGTTTTATTTTATATTTTATAATAATATTAATTTTTTTTAAAAAAAAACTATTACTTAGAAAAAAATTAATAAAAATATATATTAATATAAAAATTTTATTTTAAAACTAAATTAAATTTATATAATTGAATAAATGTAGAAAGTGTTCAAGGTTATTTTTTACTTTATTGTTACTTTTAAAAAAAATCTATTTGTATTATATTATTGTACATAAATTTTTATAATAATAATAATAATAATAATAATAATAATAAAATCTAATTGAATGCATTAGTGAAAATATAAATCATTATATATTTAATAAATATAATAATAAATGTAATTTTAAATGTAATTTAATATATATTTTATTTAAAAGCACGTATTTAGTGGATATTGTTTGTGAATTAATGTTCAAAAAAAATATTAATAACATATTTTTTCAATTTTTATTATTATTATTATTAATATATAACTTGAATTAATAATTTTTTTAGTTAGCAAAAAAATATGTCTGTGTCTATGTGTTTTTGTATGCACTTATAAAATGTTATTTTGATTTTTTTTACATTTTTTCAAGTATTTATATTTTTCAATGTCTATAATAATAATGTGTGTTTGAATTATTTATATATAATTTTTATAATAATAAATTAAATATTGTGTATTATTATTATTATTATCTACTTATTAAATCTAAATCATAAGTGTGAACAACTAATAAATAAAAAATTAAAAAAAAATAAATTACAACTAAATGTGTTATATTTTTTATAGAGGAAAAAAATTATTGCATATTCAGCAATAAATTAACATTTATTAAATAGTTTTTTTTATAAATATTATTAATGTTAAATAATATATCAATATTTAACAGTACAATATAGATACTTTATATGGCTATTAATAATAAAAATAATTATTATTATAATTTAATATTGTTATTCAACAAACCGTTTCACTGACAAATAGCCAGACAAACACACACACACACACACACACACACACACACACACACACACACACACACACACACACACACACACATACACATACACATACACATACACATACACATACACATACACATACACATACACATACACATACACATACACATACACATACACATACACATACACATACACATACACATACACATACACATACACATACACATACACATACACACACACACACACACACACATACACATACACATACACATACACATACACATACACACACACACATACATACACACACACACACACATACACATAAACATACACATACACACACACACACACACACACACACACACACACACATACATACACACACACATACATACACACACACACACACACACACACACACACATACACACACACACACACACACACACACACACACACACACACACATACATACACACACACATACATACACACATATACACACATACACTAATACAGGATATGAACAGTAATTTTATAATACAGTAAAATATATTATATTTAAAAAAAATTATAAATTATAAATATTCATAACAACACACACAACACACAAAACTCCATATTAAGCACAACAACATTATATATAATATATATACAGTATATACTGTATACTAAATATATATATAAATTATATAATTAATCTATTGATAGACACGTTATGTATACACACAGTAATAATTTTGTAACAAACAACACACACAAACACATATTTTAACAAAATATTTATTTATTTAATTTATTTTTAATATTAATTATTTTTGTTTTCTCATTTTTTTTATTGTTGTTGTTGTCGTCTCGCACATACCTGTGTCCTCCACCTCCCTGTTCACACACCCGCACACACACACACCCGGCTCGTACAGCAATCGTATGATGTATTGGAACGGCTGGCGTATAGTCTGGCCAATGGTTTGGGCACTAGCTGTGGCACATGCCGGTGCTATGTACGGCCTTTATTTGCTAGTATTTGGCACCGTTATGTGGCAGACGCTAGTGTGGCAAAATTGCATACACCTGCTAACCGCACCGGGCATTACTGCCGGCGCTCATCGTCTATGGTCTCATCGGTCGTTCAAAGCTCGTTGGCCACTACGCCTCTACCTAATGATTGCCCAAACTTTATCACTTCAGCGGGACATCTATTCGTGGAGTGCCGACCATCGTATACATCATAAGTACTCGGAAACCGATGCCGATCCCCATAATGCCAACCGGGGGTTCTTCTATGCCCATATGGGCTGGCTGTTTGTCGAACAGCACCCGGAGGTCATCAAAAAAGGTATATATATTATATTTTTTTTATTATTAACTAATTATTTTCTAATTATTTCCATTCAATTTTCAAATAAATATATAATATTCATAATAAAAATTCATATATTTTTTTTAAATATTATTTTTGTTTTATTGTTGATATAATATATATATATATAATATTTTTAATTATTGATTTTTTCTGTAAAATACTAATTTGTTTAATAATTTTAATTAGCATGGTAAATTTTTGTTTTTATGTTTGGCAGTGTATGTGTTTGTGTGTGTTTGAAATATAATTAATGTTAATATAATTAATAATATATTATTTAATTTATGTAAATTACATTAGAAATATTTGTAAACAAATTTTTTATTTTGATAATATTTTTTCTAATTAAATTCTAGACTTATTTTTAATATTTAATTAATGATTTTTATGTTGTTGTTGTTGTTGTTATTTATTTTGACATTCAAAAAAATTAGCTAAAAATTATTCAAAATATTAAAATATTAATTTTTTATTTTTTTTGAATAGTGTATTAATATCTATGAGTTAATTATTGTTAAAATTAAAATTGTTTGAAACAATGTTTTTTTTGAATAATATTTATATATATATTTTTTGATTTATTATGGGTTAGTAGTACTGTATATATATATATATATATATATATATATATATATATATATATATATATATATATATATATGTTTAATATGTTAAACATTAAAAAAAAATTATTTATAGTATTGATATATTAAAATAATTATAATTAAAATAAATTTTTATATATATTATATATATTTTATTTTAAATATAATAATAATGATATTTTTTTAAATAAACTAATATACAATTTAATATATAGTCTATTATTTTGATATTAAAAATTGTTTAATTAGTAATAGGGTTGTTCCTAACAAATAAAAAATCATTAATTATTACTATATTTGTATATATAAAAAATAATAATATTTATAGTTACAAAAAAAACCAACACTAACTTTATTAATAATTTATTAACTCTACTAAAACATATATATATATATAATAATTTATTTTTGAACAAAAAGCTTAATACACTAATTAATTACATTACAAAAATAAAATGTTAAGAAAATTTTTTTTAATTACATTTTCAACACTATGTTTAATTGAGACAACACTTAATCATTTATAACAAAAAAAAAAAAATAAAATAATTTACATTAATTAATAATTTTGTTGTCAAAAATGTCAAACTTTTTTTTTTAATTATTAATATTATAAGAAAACTTATAATTAGTAACTAATTTTGGAAATAATTGTTTTTTTATAAATATTTTAGCTTAAAATTAATTTTTTTAAAATTATTTTTTGTTTGTTTAATTATTTAGCTAAAAATATCGATTTGAGTGACTTATTAGACGACCCAATAGTCTACTATCAGAGATTGTTTTATCTGCCACTAGTGGCCATCATTTGGTTTGCCATACCGGTGCTGATACCCTGTTATCTATGGGACGAAACATTTATTAACTCATTGTTCATCAGTATAACCAGATATATATTGTATGTGATTTAAAATTAAAATTAAAATAAAATAAAAATTAAATTAAATTTAGCATGCTAATAAAATAATTATCTAGTTAATAATTTATTTTTTTTTAATTTTTAAATAAATTAGCATGCTTCATTGTGCATTTATGGTCAACTCAGTAGCACATCTATGGGGAATACGTTAGTATTTAAATTTTAATTATTTAATTAATTTTTGTTTTATATTTAAAAATAAATAATTATTATTATTTTATATATTTCAACTAGGTCCATACGATAAAAATATTAATCCAGCTGAAAGTCAATCAGTTACCTGGTTAACTCTTGGTGAAGGTACTAGTTGAAAATTGTTATTTTATTGAAAAAAATAAAAACTACTAACAAATAATCAATTATTTATAAATAAAAAAATAAATAATAATTTTATTTTAATTTATAGTCTAATCTATTTTTTTTAAAAAAATTTTTACATATAATAAATATTTTATTAAATATAATATGAATTTTTTTAAATTTTAGTATAAATTTTATTAAATTTAGTATAAATTTTATTATATTTTAGTATAAATTTTATTATATTTTAGTATAAATTTTATTAAATATAATAAATACATATTTTTTTAAAAATTATTTTTTTATTTGTACTAATAATTTATTTATTAATAATTAGGTTATCATAACTATCATCATGTCTTTCCATATGACTACTCAACTGGTGAATACAGTTGGGATGTATGTATCAAATATATTAGCTAGGACAAATTATTCTAATTTTTTTAAAATAAAAAAATTAGCACCAATGTTAATTTAATTTTTTTTTAAATAATTAGGAAAATTTCAATCTAACAACCTGGCTGATCGACTGGTGTGCCCGCTATGGACTGGCCTACGATCTGAAAAAGCCCAGTGCCGATAATATAGAGCAAACCAAATTGAAACGTGGCAATAGCAAACTGATACATAAGCCCAGTATACCGGTGCTCGACTATGTTACCGGTATTGGCGTACAAACATGGATCATATGGCTTCCGTTAACAATTAGACTATTACTTACAATTGCTACAAATTAATTCAATTTAATTTAATTAATTTTTTTAAAACATAATATTAATACATATAAACACACACAAATAAAATTATTATTATTATTATTATTAAACAAAATAATAATTTAATAATTGATACAAAATATATATATAACAATTAGCAATGATATTTATTTCAAATTTTTTTTTAATTAATTAAATTTATAAAAAAAATATATAATATATTAGTATTATTCTAATTATTATTTTTTAAAATTTTGAAAAAAACCATTGATTTTCTATAGAAATTAATTGATTATCAATAATTGACCCATAATTTGATAACTAAATAACTATTATTATATTAAATATACAGTAGATATTGTGTGTGTGTGTAATATAAATGTGATAATTGATATTTCAAAGTCATTTTTATATATTATTATTATTATTATTATTAATATATGATATTTAAATTATTATTTCATTAATTACTGTATTATTATTATTGAAAATAATAATAACATTAAGTCATAATAAAAAAATTAATTATCATTATTTATCAAACAAACAAAAATCATTGATTTATTTATAATTTTTTTATATAATAATTCAAATTTACATTCATCTGAGTTGTAAATTACAACTTGTAATAAAACAAAATATTTGTTATTAATTTTATTTAATTCAAAATAAAATTAATATTTAATATTAATGATTAATGATTAAAATGTGAGTATTATTTTTTACATTTTTGTAAGTAAAAAATATTTTAATTTAAATATTAATTTCATAAAATTAAATTTATTAATTCTATAATGATTTATAAGTTATTGAAAAATACTAAAATTAAATAATTATAATATACTTATAAAAGTTTATTAAAAAACAATTATTTGTTAATATTTATCAAAAACTGTAACAAATATATATAATTAGTGATTTATAATGATTTATATATTTATATTTAATTAATTTAAATATAGATATTAACCACGAGTTTATTTTAAAACTAAAAATTACAATTTTAGATTTCTGATCATGGTCATTATTATTTAAATTTTTAAAATCCTTAAATATATATATTTAATAAATAATCAAATATCACAAACAAAAAATTATTGTAAAAAATTTATTTATTGATATTCAAAATTATTAGTCATTTAATAATTTTATGTATATATATATATATATATAATATATATATATATTTAATAAAATTGTTACATTAATTAATATTCATTGTATATTAATTAGTATATGTTTACAGTATATGAGCAATTATCAATTTTTTTGAGGACTTCAATTATTATTAATTAAATTAATTAATATTAGTTATTATATAATTATTGTTTGTAAAATACAGCGTATTAATCACTTATATTAATATATATATATATATATATATACTGTATAACCATTAGATATCATATTTGGATATCTAAATAGTAGTAACCATTATATTGATATTTATATATTGAAATTTTCCAAATATGCATATATAAAAAAATTGAAAAAAATAATTATTAATATTTCCTTAATATGTTTTTTGTTTGTTTGTTTATGTTTTACTTCAACAAATCAAACATTTGTATTTTAACAAATGCTATTGAAATAAAATTTTTAAAAAATACAATAATTATTATTATTTATAAAAATAATTATTTTGTGTGTGTGTGTGTGTATAAAAAATATATATATAGATTTCACAAAAAAGAAATATAATATCAAAAAAATATTATATGAAATCATATGATTATAGTTTTAAATGTGTTTTTATGACATTATAGTTATATATATATATATATATATAAATATTGAATATATATATATATTTATATTGTATATATCAAATTTGATTAAGTAACCCATGTTTACAAATATAAATCATATATAATAATAATAATAATAATGTATTATTGTTGTATAAATATGTATAAAAAAAATTATATTATGTTTTATAAAAAAAATTGTTGTTTTTTGTTTTGTTTTGTTGTTCATTATATGCATTAAATAATAATAAATTTAAATATAATATATAAAAATAATTTTTTTTAAATATATTTAATAAAAATAATTCATTATTATTATTATTACTAAATTATATTAATAACTGTTTTTCATAATATCAAAACTTATTAAAACATTATTTAAAAAAAAAATTAATACTTAAAAAGGTATTAATAATTATTAGTTGAATTTTTTGATTATTTCGATATCATTATTGGAAATGTGATTATTATTATTATTATTACTACTAATAATAATATTATTATAGTTTTTATTCAAATTATTATTATTATTAGCGAAAAATGTATTATTATTATCAATAATTTTTCGTTGCCTGAGATCCTGTACCGCCATTACTACTGTATCATCACTGTTAACATTATTATCATTAGCTACCGGTGCCACCACACCATTAGCTAGATTACCATTACTAACAACAGCCTTATTAGTATTATGGACGCCTCCCAGTCCATTGGCCATTGAACAAGCCGTGGGCGTAAATACCATACTTTTGGTCTGCGATTTCAATAGGTAGGTGCGTACAAAAAAGTTGACAAACAAAGCGAAAAACAGTCCATACAAACTGGTACCGGTTAGGGCTACCGTAATATGACAGTCAACTGGTTGACTTTGGGTTAGTTTATAGACCAGCACCTGTACGTTCACATACAAGCCGTACAGCATTTGGATGATCTGCAGGGATGTTATGGTGATGTTGACCGCCCGCGGTATTTGTACCCGAAATGCTTTGGACGCGTAGTACGTGTACATTAGTGAATGTATTAGGAAGTTCATGTTGACCATCCAGCGGGCAGTGGCCGGTACATCGCCGAAAACATACCACGAATAGCATAGGGTTAGACAATGATGGATCCAATGCAGGGTTATTAGCTTATGTCGGCGCAGTACGATAAATAGGGTGTCCACCAGTTCCAGTGCTTTACTCAATACAAACGATAGGTACCATAGATTTACACGCCAGTCCTATGTGTTGTGGAAGTATGGTTGGGAGGGGTGGGTATGGGAACGGGTAGTGGTTTTTTTTAAAAAAATAATAATAAAAGTTAATAGAGATGGTCAATCAATTTTTTTTTAATAATAATATTTTATCAATAGTTATATAAAGTGTGGAAAATCTAGTATTTTTAGTTAATAATAACAATAATATAATTAACTTTTTTTTATCAATTAATTTGTTTAACTAACTAATTAAAATAATAAAAAATAATTAACATTTCTATTATTTTTTTCCATAAATTTTATATAATTATTATTGTTATTTAAATTTTAGTTATATTGTAATAATATTTATAATATAAATTACTGTATTTGATAACTGTTGTTGATAATTATAATTGATAGATACAAAATAATTAAATAATAAAACTAATAGTTACCTAGATACTATAAAAAAATCTAATCTATCACAGCATATATAGTTTAAATAATAATAATAACGTATATTTAAATAAATAAATAATAGTATTTTTAGCGCAAAAATAATAATAATAATTTGCAAAATACTAAATATTTAGTTAATTTCTAAACTAAGTTTATTTTTAATTCATAAAATTATTACTAATTAATTATAATTAAATAATTATGTTTATATAAATGTTTGTTATTACTGGTATATATCACTAACACATAAAACTAAATAATAAATTGTTTAAACTATTTGTTAAACTGTAAATGTTTTACATGTTATACAGTAATCAAAAAAAATAATTAATTAATATATTGATACCTAACTATTTTTTAATAACTAATTATTCAAACACACCCATAACCCCATCATAAGCACCCGCACCCATACATACATGTGTACACACACACACACACCCAACCCAAACATACCTTATAATAGCTTGAGTCGGTAAACGAGGCATTGAAACCTTTATACCATAATATGTGTAGAAATTCGGGTAAACATCGGACGACGCCGATAATCGAGAATATGGCCAACAGTGCCGACCAGTAGGCCATCGGTAGCCGTAGATTATAGGGTTCGGATCGCTGGCGCATCCAATGTCTCAACGAAAATATAGTAGCTATATAAACGGCGGACAGGTAGATGGAGTAGTGCCATTTTTGTTGGAAAAATTCATGTAACCGATCCCCGTAGGGTAGTATGGCTTCCTCTAGTTCCGATAGGCCCGGTATGTATGGTATACCAGGAAAACGGGACCAATCGCGCGACCATTTATCAAAATGTTGGCCATGTTTGATATGATGATAGTTATGATAGCGTAGGTCACTGTCGTTAAACATGTTTATTGTTGTTGTTGTTGTGTTGTTGGGACAGTTGGTTTTGGTGGTGTTGTTGTTGTTGATACTAGTGTTTAAAAAAATTTAAAAAAAATATATTTAATTAAATATTTTTGTTTGTTTGGCTAATTCAAATTGATTCAAGTTTTTATTATTAAAAATAGTTATAATATTAATTATTAATAAATAACTAATTAATTAATTAAATATTATACTAAACCTAATTAGTAATTTAATTAATTTTTAACTTTTTGTTTCAATTATTATTATAACAAAATTAAAACTAAATTAAAGTTTTCAAATAATGTTTCAAATAAAATAAGTTATTGTTTTATTTTATTAAAAAAAAGTATACAGTTTTCACTTTAAATAAAAATTATTATATAATTATGTGATATAACTGTCAACATATTAAATACCGGTACCAATAATAAATTAATATAAAAAAATAAATAAATATACAGGTACAATTTATTTTTAAAAGACAATAGTACTTACAAATTAATTTGACGATTGATTGATGATGATGATTTATTTTGTTAAGTATTTTAAATATTTTATTCTAAATAAAAAAAATAAATAATAAATAAAATAAATATTGTTTTACTTATGTTAAAAAAATGTATATAAATTTAAATATAAATAATTAGTAATTATGTACTAAACTATAATGTGTAAATAATAATAAATATTTATATATATAAATTTCTATTAATTAAGTACAATATTTATTATCATTATTATTGTTATTATTATTATTATTATTATTAAAAGTTTAATGATAATTATAGTAATATTTGTTAGTTATATGTTAGATACGTG